TATTTTACAGTAACTGGTAAATACAATGTTATTTTACAGTAACTGGTAAATACAATGTAGTTTTACAGTAACTGGTAAATGCAATGTAGTTTTACAGTAACTGGTAAATTCAATGTTATTTTACAGTAACTGGTAAATACAATGTAGTTTTACAATGTTATTTTACAGTAACTGGTAAATACAATGTAGTTTTACAGTAACTGGTAAATACAATGTAATTTTACAGTAACTGGTAAATACGATGTTATTTTACAGTAACTGGTAAATACAATGTGGTTTTACAGTAACTGGTAAATACAATGTAGTTTTACAGTAACTGGTAAATACAATGTAGTTTTACAGTAACTGGTAAATACAATGTAGATTTACAGTAACTGGTAAATACAATGTAGTTTTACAGTAACTGGTAAATACAATGTAGTTTTACAGTAACTGGTAAATGCAATGTATTTTTGAATTACTAGTAAATATACAATGTAGTTTTACAGTCACTTGTACATACACAATGTACAGTGACAGTTAATACAATGTAGATTAATGGTAACTCTATTTTACACATCACAATTTCACAGAAACATAATTACATTGTATTTGTTAGAGAATTACATGGAATATCTTTGTACAGAATAATGTATTAGTATGATTTGATTTTGTTGAGTGTTTTTTTCTTGTATTTGTGTGTTTGTTGGCGATCACAAGATGTTTCCTTCAGTTGTTAAACAGACTTGGATGTGGAAGGTTACAAATCTATGCAATTTTGACAACAAGTTGTATTTGACTTCTTATTGAGGTTTATAAATCATGTTTAAAAACACATTAGTTAAGTTTACTTACACAAGACCTTTTGGTAGACAAGGTCTAGAAATCTACAAATCTTTTTGCTTTCCAACACACTTGTGCTGAGAGCTGTGTGAGCTTGTGTTGAATGCTCGTGTTTTCTTATTGTGAATATGGAGTGTAAACTTCACTTAAGTCATGTGCTTGTTGTCTTATCATATACTGTATATATTGTATATAGCGAGGCTCACATGCACTGCATCAGGTGAACTGCGTGTTCACTTCCCAAGTGAGCACATTTTTTAAGCATTGAGAGTGAGCTGTATCATTTTGATCATGTTATTTTGAATGCTTATTATTTGGTACATGATCATCAGGGTGATTATTCTGTGGTACATGTTCCCCAGGGTGATTATTCTGTGGTATGTGTTCCCCAGGGTGATTATTCTGTGGTACATGTTCCCCAGGGTGATAATTCTGTAGTACATGTTCCCCAGGGTGATTATACTGTGGTACATATTCCCCAGGGTGATTATTCTGTGGTACATGTTCCCCAGGGTGATTATACTGTGGTACATGTTCCCCAGGGTGACTATTCTGTGGTACATGTTCCCCAGGTTGATTATTCTGTAGTACATGTTCCCCAGGGTAAAGATTATGTGGTACATGTTCCCCAAGGTGATGATTCTGTGGTACATGTTCCCCAGGGTGATGATTCTGTGGTACATGTTCCCCAGGGTGATGATTCTCTGGTTCATGTTTCCCACGGGGATTATTCTGTGGTACATGTTCACCAGGGTGATGATTCTGTGGTACATGTTCCCCAGGGTGATGATTCTGTTGTACATGTTCACCAGGGTAAGTATTCTGTGGTACATGTTCCCGAGGGTGAGTATTCTGTGGTATATGTTCCCCAGGGTGATTATTCTGTGGTATATGTTCCCCAGGGTGATTATTCTGTGGTACATGTTCCCCAGGGTGAGTATTCTATGGTATATGTTCCCCAGAGTGAGTATTCTGTGGTATATGTCTCCCAGGGTGACTATTCTGTGGTACATGTTCCCCAGGGTGATAATTCTGTTGTACATGTTCCCAAGGGTGAGTATTCTGTGGTATATGTCCCCATGATGATTATCCAGTGGTACATGTTTCTCATTGTGATTATTTTTTTTGTGGTATATGTTCCATTGGGTAACTCTGTGGTATATGTTCCCTAGAGTGATTAGTTTGTGGTACATGTTTCCCAGGGTGACAATTCTGTGGTACATGTTCCCAAGGGTAACTCTGTGTTACATGTTCCCCAGGGTAACTCTGTGTTACACGTTCCCAGGGTAACTCTGTGGTACATGTTCCCCAGGGTAACTCTGTGGTACATAATCCCCATGGTAACTCTGTGTTACATGTTCCCCAGGGTAACTCTGTGTTACATGTTCACCAGGGTAACTCTGTGTTACACGTTCCCAGGGTAACTCTGTGGTACATGTTCCCCAGGGTAACTCTGTGGTACATAATCCCCATGGTAACTCTGTGTTACATGTTCCCCATGGTAACTCTGTGTTACATGTTCCCCAGGGTAACTCTGTGTTACATGTTCACCAGGGTAACTCTGTGTTACATGTTGCCCAGGGTGATTATTCTGTGGTACATGTTCCCCAGGGTGATTATTCTGTGGTATATGTTCCCTAGAGTGATTATTTTGTGGCACATGTTCCCCAGGGTAACTCTGTGGTACATGTTCCCAAGGATGATGATTTTTGTGATGATCATTCAGTGATGTTACCTTGGGTTATAATCCAAGGTACGATATACTACAGAACTGTACATTTATTTGGTTTAATTCAAGTTTGCTTCACTCTTGCAAAATTAACTGTCAAATGATGATGAAATGAAATAAACAAAAAAATGTGACAAATTTCATTGTTCTTGATTTTTGTTTGTTAATGAAATACGTTGTCAACCATCTATCACAATCTTTCAGGATTTCAAACTTTTCTGGTGATGGAAAATCTTCAACTTTTGTGAAGATATCTTGATGACTACCTACTCTCCTTTCAATTAACATTACTCTTCTGCATTCACCAAGGTTTCCAGCAGTTTACCAACTGTTGTAGATTTATGGGATTTCTTTTGAAATTTGTTTTAACTCCACTGATATATCTGCTGTATGTATATAAGATATATTTGTTTGGCTTATGAGATTTTATATTGTAACAAGTTTTCTGAGATTAAACTGTAGACAGTTGGCCATGGCAGTTGCGGTCAGCTTCACAACTATAGATCGCACTTACATGTGTATATTCAGTCTTGTTTTATGAGCAAATTACTAGTCCACCAACAAAGAGTGTCCAAATCACTCTTTGTTCATTGTTTCTTTCCCAAATTTCATATGTAGGTTTCCTTGGTCCCTATTTGTTTATTGTCCATTTAAGGACTGATCAAACATTCAAAATGGCTGACAGGAGGCCATTTTTTATTTTGACATTAATAATTTGTCATTTTTCTTTCTTGAGTACTTTATAGATAATTATTAAATTTTGTATGTAGGTTCCCCTTTGTCACTTGTTTTGGAGGATGCTCAGAAAACGAACCTTCTTGATTTTTTACAAGTTTATTTCTTTTTAATCTTTTCTCATGAAGTATGAGAGAGGAATCATTCTAAAATTTACCATAAAAGGTTTTCTTTGATTTGTGTTGACCGAAAGGTAGCCATATTGGATTTGACAAACAAGTTGTTAATTGTCTTACTATTCTGATAGCGATTGACACATCAGTATCAAATTTTGAACGTCAGTTTTCCTTATGATGAATTCATCAGTCATTATTATAAGTACTGTAACTGATAGCAAATTAGAGGAGAGAACAGAAAAGGAAAAATATCCAATTTATACAGAACCAATAAAGATCATACAATGGACTCAACCTGTGTGATAAGAAAACAGTTTAAGATGTCCAAAGGAGCTGACCACAGCTACTGTATTTAAAATGATATTGATCACAGTGATTTAAGGGCATGTAATTCTAGAATTATAGATTGAGGCACAGGAACTTGGCACAAATTTCTGACTATGGTCCATATTTATGTATTATAGTTACTATGTTTTTTGCTACAAGTCCCAGTGAATTGATGACTGGTAACAAAGTTCTACTGAATGAGTGAAGGAACACTTACACAGTGTACAAACTATCTAAAAAGGGAGTACAAAGTAAAAGTAACGCCCTCTGTTACATGTTCGAAAAGAAATATCTGATGTAGAGGATTAGAACCAATAACAAGATTTGTCAAGGGGAATAACTCTTCCAAAACTGAAAAACTCCTCCATCAACACACAACATAGTCTGACATTCCTGTACTAGTACAAATGTCCTATGTCCTACCTATAGGAAACAAATACAAAAAAAACAAGTTTGATGATATCACATTTTATTGTTGATTTTATGTGCGGTACAGAAATAACATAGTAACACAGTAAAAGTTAAGGATATGTGGGTCATGACACACTATTTCAGATCATTGTAATCAGAAATAGGTCACAATAAATGTTTTTATACATCATATGTAAAAAAAATATATAGAAAAATGACTTATAAATACTAATGATAAAACTTCCCTTCTTCTTTAAAACCACAATACTTAAATTCATTATCCAACCATTGCACAGATGGAAAAATAGGACATCTAACTTGGATAAAAGCTAGATTCTAAAGTTTTAACAGTCTGTCTGTTGATACAACGAACCAACAACGGACAGTCTAGCATTATTTCACTGATCTTTGCAGGCAGAAACTTTTTTTTTCTCCGAACACTCAATAAGAAAATTTAGAAAATGTCAAAAAAACATAGAAGCTCCCACTCCAGTGAACATTAGTTTGTAATAGCTTTGATAAAAATTCAAAACTAACTGATGATATCAATTCAGGACAGCATGGCAGATATGACAAGACAGAATTGGGTAACACTATAATCCCCCCACCCCATAACATGGTTATGGAATAAAAATTCATTATTGTTTGCAGGTAATTGTAAAACATTTACCATTTATTGAAAAAAAAACTTGCTAAAATATTTTTCTCAACTGATTCTTTTCCAGTGAAATCATACAGGATTTCCAGAGAAATCTTATGTGGTTCTGATGAAATCTTAAGGATTTCCAGTGAAATCTTACGGAATTTCCAGTGAAATCTTATGGAATTTCCAGTGAAATCTTACGGAATTTCCAGTAAATTCTTATGTGGTTTCCAGTGAAATCTTAAGGATTTCCGGTGAAATCAGCTGAATCAGAACTGATAGTAGACCATAGTATCACCTAGCCTAACACAATGCTTGATTCCAGGTCACATATATCTTAGTTCTAATCAATGCTTATTCAACAACAATACAATCACATGGAAGGTCTCATTATTTAATCGGAGTCATTCACTTCTTGTTATTATAAAGTTTTATATAGGACATCTGCCTACACAGCTTCCATCATACGCCACTGTGTCCCTTGCATCTGATTGGCTCCTGCCTGCAGTTGGTTCCAAGACTTCCTGTGGGTCTTCAATGCCATCTAACAACGAAAATAAAAGAGAAGATTAAACAAAGCATTCCTGTATGCTTGTAAGAAAAATAGTTGAAATCAGGAAGCGTTGTCTCCATCTTGCTAAACATTTCACTGTTATCTCTCTATTACAATGTGTAGTGTATTTCTTGACAGCAACATTTCTATAGTGTAAGAGTGACAGCAAATAACTGAAACCATTCATAACCAGCTGACTTATTTCTTTTCATTTTTGTTTCCAAATTACTTAGATAACAGTAATCTGATTATAAAAGTACATAAAATATGGAAAATGTGTTTCATATGGAATTTTGGTTAGAATACAGATTCAATATTTGAAATATTAAGTATTCATCAATACCTTAAAGTGAAAAAAATTAATAAAGAATATAAGGATATGATCACAGTAAGTAAACAGTGCTGACATCCAGTTATGTTACCTCTGCTATTTCCACCTTCCTTTCCCAGCTTCGGACTTTCTTTTGAAGTTCATACAAATCTGCTTTTTCTGTGACATATTCCATCACCTCTGGGACTCTGTAATCTGCCAGTTGTTGGCGTAACTTTCTGTTTATTTTCTCTGCTTTTGCACGTTCCTGTAAAAAGTATTACATTAATCTAGAAAACAAAATTTCACAAAAAGCTTTGTCCATGTTTATTTTTTTTGGCTTGGAGGCTATTGGGTAAAGTCATGCAATACTTAAAAGTCTCACATAACCTTGACCTTGACCAAACAGACTGTTGTGTGGTTGGCATCAAATGACCCCTGAGTCCTTAAATACAGGTATAAACCAACATTTGGTTTCAGTATAAAAACAAAAGTTACGTTTTCACAAGTATTCAGTGATTTCCACCTTTGACCTCTTGCTCTCACCTAGACCTTGACCTTGAAAGTTTTATACCTATTTTGGTAACTTGCAAATATTTATAAAGTTTTGATAAGTTAAGAGGAAAGTAAGAGTTTGTGTTCCTGACTGCACTTATGCCTGTACCTAACTTAATACCTTTATTCTATTTATAAAGTGGCCTTGACCTTGGGAGCTTGCAAAAAGCAGTAAATCATTATGAAACTAGGAAATATCTTAGACATAAATGTCCCAGTGGCCAGGCCTTGACCTTTGACTCCTAAAACATAACTATGTCCAAAGTCTACTCATAATTGACCCTTATAAAAAATTTGACAAAAATCTGCCAAAGATTGCAAGGTGCTTACACTGAATTGGGATGAGACAGGATCTGTTAAGATGGACATGGACAATGCTACCCAGCAGGGTGCATAAAAACAAAAATTTAGAAATTTTAGTTCTGTGTCAAACAATGTCTGGAAATGAATGTCTGGAGGGCCAAGTAGAAAGAAACAGGGATGGTTACATAACTATGGGGCACCAGAATGTCTGGCCCTTACTGCATGTACATTTTCTATGTCTGATATCTAGAACATAGTTTACAAAAATAATATACATACGTCACATTGATAGACCAAATTGTCTTATATTTCTTGTTACCAGCTCTGACAGTGGTTGCTCTACAGCCATATGGGCTTTTAATGAAAGTTTTACAAAATTTGCACCCCTCCATGTAGCGAGATATTCACCACTTCCACTACACACTGTCACTACAAGAAGACACTCACCACTTCCACCACCTTTGTTTCTGCGTCTATCCTTGTCAGCAGGTCGTTCCTGGCAGTAATTTCTGATTTAAGTCTCTCTGACTCCATTGTTAATGTATGCAGCTTTTTCTATAAAATCAAAATGAAATAGAATATCGTTTATTATATTTTCCATCAAAAAAACTACAAACAGGTCTTGAGTCTTGCATTACGACAAGGTTTTAAGGTCTCAGCAGTTTTATTTTGAATTAAAACATGTTATTCATTTTCAAAAATGAAACCTCCATACAATACCAATGAATTGAATGATTATGAATCATTTTGAAAGGAAGATGCTGTTTCACTAAATTTGTTAAATTTTAAGACTATAAACAAATATCTGTTATTTTCCATGTAAGTTCAATATTGAAAAGAGGAGAACTTTTCCAAACTTAAGTACTGTACTTCATTTTGAGGTGGATTGTCAACGTTTTATCCAGGACTGACTTTATCATATTTAACAAATTGGTTAATAATACCAAAGATACAATTAAATCTATGTTACCTTGTACGAGTTGAGAACCTGCAGTGTCTTGCCAGCCATTAATTTTAGTCGCAGAAGATCCTGATTTCTCTCATCGATCTTTTCCAGGTACTGCTGGTTTTCTATTTTCAGCTGATTGAAGTCTACCTCATGTAGTACCTCTCCCATCTCTTCTTTCTGAATGTAGAGTGTCACTTTATCAAGGGAATATCTATACCCGAGTTCTCAGTGTTTAAGGCACTTTGAGACAAAGTATTCCTGGTCTATGATTACACGGTAATACTGCTGACTTTAAGTGGTATACATATGCACATCTATTTATAAATTAAGGTTACCAATATGATTCTTAAAAAAAAATTAAAATAAAAAAAATTGAAGACTATTGGCATATATGTGTAGTTGATTATAACTTTAGAATAAATTAAAAGTAATAGTTACCTGTTTCAGCTGTAGATGTAATTTTTTCTTTTGTACTTTTAATGTTGAATTTTTCAGACGTAGTTTTTCAACTAAGGCATCCTGTTCAGAGAGAGAAAGGGAGAAAAAAAATCATAATTCTTTCTACACAATAATATCTGTATGTACATCTACAGTATACCCTATATATAATGAATTCGGATATAATGGAAACTCATTTTTTATGAACACATACACAATCTTCATTCAAATTCAAAGTATTTTATGTATTTTTGCTTGAATATGATAAATGGGCTATGATGAAATCCTGTATTTTCTGAAAAAAATTTTCAGTCCCCACAGCTAATTTGTTGACTTTGTTTACCAAGATATGGTGTAAACACCTACAAGGTACTTCATTAATTACCCAATTAATATCTATGCATATTCATCAAATTAATAGTTCATTCATGTATATGATAATAAATATGTTGATCTAACCCTGTAGTTATCCAATCATGTCTGACAACTTTATTCAGCTGACACATAACCAATAAGAGAGATAACATTCAAAAGCTTGACAATATATCTGCTTTTAATGAAACCCATTTATTATGAACAAATAATGAGAGTTCCTAGGATTTCCTTATATCTGGGTTAGACCGTGATTTATAACTGAAAGACACATTATGTTTACTCTTACATATCAGGACAAGATACTTTCATTTAAAAAAAAATGAAAGTAAAAATAAACATTGCCCTTCTTCCAAAAAACACATACAAAGAAACATGTTTTAAAATCTTATACTTCATAGACTTACTCGAGATCTTAATTTATCCTCAAAGTACCGTACAACTTTCTCAGCCATAACTGTGGCTGTTCGTGCATTCACTGAGCCTTTCAATATATCACGATCAAATTCGTAGGATTCCTTCTTAGTCTCTGCTAATCTCAAATCTGCCTCTTCCATTATCGCCTACAAAGAAAAATTCAGTAAAGTGATACAAATGATTTTTATTATTTTTTTTTTAACTTTATATACAAGTTAAAACATTCAACAAGTTAACTTCAATTTAAATTCAAATTTGTGATACAGTAACCTGGTAATCATCAGTAGTTTATACTTAATCTCTTTCATCAATATGAAGATATAGTAAAATTGACTCAAGCATACCTTGAATGTATCTAGAATCTTTTCACAATTTTCTTTCAGTTTTTCAATTTCTTCTTTGAGTTCATCAATTTCTTTTTGTGCAATGTCACATTTCTGCTCTGTGTTAAGACGCATTGACGACTTGTCAATGTTACTACTCCGAGATTTTGACCGCTTCCTGTTTACACCACGCATTACATCCTGGTTGGAGGTTGATGGAACAACACCTGTTGTAGCTGTACCCGGTCCTGGTGTCCCCAGGGTATCTTTTGTTTCGTTTCTTTTGAGGTATTTTTCAAACATCTGCGTTTCTGTTGCAAGAACATCATTTTCTTTTCTGCAAAAATAAAAATAAATATTTTTTAGATATAATTGCACGTTTTAGTCATGTGGATTATTAGAAAACATACAAGCACAAGACTTTATAACCATTATCAAACAATTTACCAGAAATGGCAGATTTTTGTAATGCAATAACAGATCATAGTACCAAAGACAAATAGATACCATCATAACACATTTTCCAATTAGATAAGTTCTGCCATCACCAGATTTTCAAGGAAAGAAATTCAGGTATTACTGAACCGTAGGTGTTTCCTGAACAATTGATTTCCATGTATGTTTATTCATATACTGATAAAGTCATTAAGTGCAAGGCAACATACATGTATGTGTTTTGGTAAAGGCTGAGACTGCTGTCTGCTTGCATAATTGAAACAAATACTAATTCAGAAAATTTATGGCATTGTGTACCAGGGGTTATATTCCCAATTGTATTCAGCTTCTCCTGGTATCCTAATTATAGCTAGCTTATTTGAAAAGACAGGAAAAAAGAGCTAAGCCAATGAGTGTGTATGAATAAATGATATGAATGAGCAATACTTTCCTTATTTTTCAAAATCGTTTGTTTATTGAAGCATTTATTTGCTTATGATAAAGTGTTCAGATGTTATGAACACAACAGTACAGGTTCATCATGTGATATCATTGCCTTGACCAAGTTAAGCAAGACACATAATATACAAAGGTTCATGCATCATCACAGCAGCATGAATATCCTGTGTCATGGACAAAAATGATAAACAGAAGTGATCAATCTTATATAATATACAGATCAATGATACAAAACCATACAGAAAAATTAAACATTGCTATAACTCAACAATTTAACAAAATTAATTACAAAAGACATAAAAAAAGGAAGTATTTCATGTCTGGACCTGAAGGGAAACAAATGGCACTGAAGATTTTAGTGTACAGCTGCAAAGTACACAGGTGTAACTACAACTCATTGTGAAATAAACAGACAGTACTTTAAGGCTCATCACAACATTCATTTTTATATACAATCGTACTTTTATGGGAAAGTGTTCAAACTATTAATACAAACACTTATCAGACCTCATCTTTATACTTCCAGTGTTAATTTCTTTATTCTGAGGTGAGTGCCAAGTGCCCATTAAGGGAATAAGAAATTGCCTTATGTCCATAATCTACAGAGCCTTTGCAGAATGATTGAGATTGTACTGATGGAAAATGTCCAGAGCCACAAAACTAGCTCTTAAGTACCTTGAAATTCACTAAGCACTGAAAAATAGTACACCTCATAACCTTGAAACTGTGAAACCTTGAAACAGCATAGGACCAAGTGGAAACTGTAAATGGCTTACAAAATTAAATTCTAAATAACATAAACTATTGTATAATGAAAGTGTCATCTCAAATGTAGCCGAGATGGATACCGACAGCAGGATATGAAGACATCCACAAAAAAAAAAAAAAAATAGAAAAACAGAAACACAGTAACTAATTAACGGAGATGTAAAATACAGGTCCCTATGTTGGTATTTCTTTAATCATGAATGTCTGTTACATCCATGTTTTTGAAGATGAATCTGTTCTATTTTAATGGCTTTTTGTTTATATTGGATTTGTTTTCTTTAATCTAGTAAATAAATATGCTCCATAGAGCCTTGTGTAGCAAAAGACGATAACTAAACCAACTTACGAATGTTATAATGACATTGATGAAGGAGTGTCCTACAAATTATGAGTTTATCATGAACTGATAGTAAGGCAATCATGTCAATAATTAAAGTTTGGTTAATACAGCGAATACAGTACTGATCATCGACATTTGTTTTCATTTTGTTTAAAACGTAAAGCGTACTTTAGAGGGCATTAAGCGCAGCTCATGAACCTAGAAAAACAACAACTTTGCCTCTGATTAGCAGGTGTTACTTACTGCATATCCTCAACCATATGAAAAAGTTGTTCATCGGACAGATCCTGTAGTGGATCGTCCCCAGCATCATTGCTGGTATCGAGACTCATTGATTCCGAGTCGGCCATTTTTTATGCTTTCTTGTTGCTAATGGAAAACATCCGGGCTACTGCCATGGGCGACAACTCGTGCGAGTTCCTAAATGAAGGTATTACAAACGAATCAAGTTCGCACTGAACTCGTCTCCAATGAATCAACAACTTGCTTCACATGCAATCTAGTAAATATTACTTAACTACATAAAAAAATAGAAAATGCATATCTTGAACACTCGAGAAGCTGGTGGTGAGCGAAATCAAACTCTATTTTAGGCAATTACAACGAAGTGATGCGACACGTTTTGGTCTTCCGAAAAGTGAAAATACATTGTTTTCGTATAAACATACTAATGAGTAATAAACAAAATGTCTATTTTTTAAATGTGTGTAGCCAGATCTTGGAGACAATAAGCATACAGAAATACTCTAAAACTATAAAAAAAAAAAAAAAAAAGAGTCCAATATAGAGCTACTAGAATGCTTAGTAAATTAAAAGCGGCATGGTGCTATAGTAATGTCTATGATTTTAACCCTGTCGGAAAATTTATTAAGATGAAATTGTTTTCGTCTGCTTTAATTGGGTGTAAAATTTTAAGTCACTTTTCACAACTGAAATCTTAATCTTGAACGTGTATAATAATGGCGATATAACGAAGTCCGTTTTGTCTGGTAGGACCAGGGACGTTAATATATACGTCCCTGGTAGGACCAATGTATTGTATAAGGTATATAGTTATTTAGTACGCTGTACATGCTGTTTATGCAGTTTTTTTGTGTGCGGATGTTGAAAAGCGAATATTATTTCTTTTCATTACATTATCCGCTTGTTACATAGTTAATTCTTCCGGGTAATAATTTGTATGAATATGTCATTAGTCATTAGTGAGTCATGTGATTAAATCTAAAAAAGTAAATTTTTGGCAAGACTGGCAACCATAAAAATAACTTCTGTGACTCGTGTTATAAATGTTATTATGAAATGACTGAAACTTATGTATGTTGACGTTGGCGTGTCCCATATAAAGGTCAGAAAATGGGGCGGGGGGGGGGAGAGGCTGTTCTTACTCGAGAACCATAAATTCTCTCTACCATATAGGTCGAAAACATGGTTTTAATTCCTTCTGTCGTCTCTTTTTTTCGAATTTTTGAAAAGATAAACAAGTTCTTCATAGAACATAAATATCAAAAATAGAAATGGAACAGATACGACATAAATGAAGACATCGATTACTAATTGTTATGAAAAAAAATCACCATTTGACATGCCATAGATAACGAAGACATGGCGATTCTTAAACATATCAGCTACAACACAATGTATCATTTAAATCCGTCTAGCTGTCCGCTGAAAGTTTACAAAGACGTAAGAAAACCGTTGTGAATAAGGAAGGATGTGCAAATTCGGGCAATATGTTAATAACGTATCGACAAATGGCTACGATTGCATATAAACAAAGAAGAAAAAATATATACAGTTTTCTCGTGTCTTTGTTTTCGTGCTGGGGTTATCGCACAAACCGGTTCAAGTATTCATCTGAAAATGCGTTTTCCCTGTTCAAAAAGTTCTTCCAACCAATGTCCCAGCACTCTTGTTTATATGTATATGTATTCCGCTTGCAATCTTTGACTACACTAAAATATGGACCTACACTGCAGTTCAGTTTCATTTTTCGAATGCAGCAATTTTCATCCCGGAGTGCAGATTTATTATTATTATTTTTACCTGTATTTTCTTCCGCATATATTTTTGTACTATATCATTCTTCGTAATAGAATGAAGATTTCTTTTGGTGATCATGGTTCGATTCCCGGCTCGGACATGAAAAGGTATGAGGTCACCTACCCGACCACGTAGGTTTTCCCCGGTTACTCCGATTTTCTCACACAACAAGACTCCTCACCCGCTCCTTTCCGGGCCAACATGAGTGGTTAATATAAACTTAAAGCTTGTCTCGCAATTGTCTCCGTTATAACATCGATCCCGTTTAAACAAAAAACCTCGGAATCGATAAAACATGCATGGGATTAAGTGTTGCAGAAGAAAGCAACAATGATAATGATACCTACTATCCATGAATGGTAAGCGTTTTCTGCTAACGCGACGACAAGGCAAATTTTTGATCAACCTAACCAGATTTATGCAAGGATCTCGAAAATAGAACGGCTTATATGTTTAATAAATTATACACACGCACACGTGAGGAATAAAAAGAGAAAATAAATCAAGTTCTTTCCAAAGTGAACTGCTCGTGGAACACCCGCCAAATACCTTATACAATGTGACACCAACATGTTTTTTTTTTTTAATTATTCAACATATTCAGTATCCCATGATTTGAAGAAACACTACACATCAAACACATTCGCTGAATCGATTTCCGTACATTTACTTAACTACGAGATATTGGACATGTTTTGATTGGTGTAGTATAAATAAAAAGGTGAAACCAGTCGCTTCACATTCCGACCAAGGGAAACAACTCGTAAATACACGAGGTAGGTAAGCCTCGTTCCTGCACCTTCGCGGGTCATCCTTGGCAGCCATTTTGACTTGAGAGAATGGAATACGGACTAAAAAGGAAATTCATCGGTGTCGACCTCCTTTGAAACGGTCACCACGGTGGTTTACGTGGCACCAATAGCTTCATTAGTTATTGAACTTTGAGATAGTGAGAGTAGATATTTCCTCGATGTAGGTCTGTATGGGAAACGAAACAACATTTTACATGGTACAACTAACGAGAGTTTCCAGTTTTACGGGAACCGGGAGGGTGCTGTCTCGGGTTCCACGCATATGTTTAGTGTTTGTCGTGAAGTAAACACTAAAATTCTCCTAGTTCGTTCCGTCCAAAAAGCAGTCATTTTTCGTACATTTAGCAAGTACTTTAGGGAAATAAGTCATTTAGGACAGTCAATACGAAAATTTACAAAAATGCCGGCGCAAAGTCGAGCACGAGTGTATGCCGATGTGAACATCCACAGACAAAGAGAGTACTGGGACTACGAGTCTCATGTTGTTGAGTGGGGGTAAGTGACAATACATACATAATACGACAAATATTTGTGCTATAAAGCATAAACATTTCTTATTCTTATGAAAGGAATCGAAACATTTTTTGATAGTATTTCCCCCTGGGCGCCTCTTGTAGGCATCACTTGCTGTACGTCAGTAGACAACGCGATATGGAAAAAATGTTGGGCCTTCTCTACACAAAGTTCAGATAACCTGAAATCTTAAAATAGACGAAAATTTTTGTATAACTGCTGACTGCTATACATATGAACATTTCCTACAATACCGGTCTACTACAACTAAACATCGTATACGTATTGGGTGTGGGTGTATGTTTTCAAACAATGCCTACTGCCGTATAGGTTTCTGCACTGAACATTACATCCAAAAGATGAACTATCAGTATTGGTTATGTAATATTGAGTTAGCATTAAGCTTGCAAGTTAATTACCGAAAGTGATGTATATTGGAATATTTTGGTTACAGTCACTTTGAAATACAGGATGCACAAATTGGTAGTTAACATGTTTTCAGCAGTCAGTAGACCACTATAAAATTTGCTTCTCCCTTTACTGAAGATTCAGTACACAACACTACATACTACATTTTAGATGAAGTGTAAGACATGCATAATTTCTTAGATAGACTAATCCCATAAGTTATTTCTGAACAGAGTTAGGAGTAATTTTCTTTTGCCTCTACAGATAAAACATTGGTCTCAAGTACCTGCATAATTAAGAGTAATAAATTTGTGTCGGTGCTGCATATGGACAGCATTCTCTAATAAATATTCATATTAAGATTTTCAGCAATATTGATTATTTAACATTTTGAATGTTTTTTTTAAGCTTGGTTAGGTAATATCAGGTTAAAAGGAAAGGGTCAGCTAGTATAGATAAACACACAGCTACGGTTGTTAATGGTGTTTAATTTTACCAGTGTTTGTGCTTCCGTGACTTTCTCTTGTGTATATGTTGATACCTTTCATGTCTAATTTAGTTTTGTTGTGAATACACTTGAGAACTAGATAATTAACTTAATAACTTGCTCTTGCAAATTTTTTTTTATTTACATATGAATTATTCTTCTAATTGCGTTTTAAACATCTTGTCATTGTCATTGGATATGTAGTCAGAGATGTGTATATGAAAAATGTTTGGAGTAATATTTTTATCTTATTCTGTTTGATTTGTTATAATGTTTATGTAATTTTCTTTCCAGACAACAAGATGACTACCAGATAGTTAGAAAACTAGGCCGAGGAAAATACAGTGAAGTCTTTGAAGCTGTTAATATCACAAACAATGAAAAGTGTGTCATTAAAATTCTAAAGGTTTGTATTGATGCAGTGTGTGAAAGTTATTATAGACAAAGGTATATTAAAAACTTCTGAAGACCTTCATGTCCCTAAAAAATAAAAGTTTCTTCTGGTATGCTGACCTTGTGCCAAGTGAAAAAAAAAGATCATTTTAAAGTTGTCTATGAATTTCAGTAACAAATTGCAATAGAAATTAGCCATTGAATTCACAGATGCAAAAATACACTTTGATAATGAATCTCTGGCGGAAGTAACTTGATCAGGCTTCTGGTCATTTATGTTTGAAAGCTTCTACAAAAGTTATTGCATCTCATAAATAAAAGTTTGAAGCTCAAAGTTGCAAGGAATGGATTATTTTTCAAATTGTATAGGCAGAAAGATCCACCTGTCTTTAAGTGTCAAGATGAGTTGGACATAATGTATTCACTGTGTCTGATGCTGTTGAATGCAATCTTATAGTGTTATACACCATATTTTCCTTGAATTGTGGATATCATTAGGCAAAGCATTGAAGAGCGTTACATGAAACTTTTCACATTTTGCCGAGGTGTAAACGCTCATTTGTTTAAAAATTTGTTCTAGCCTGTAAAAAAGAAGAAGATCAAAAGAGAAATAAAGATTCTTGAAAATCTACGTGGAGGCACAAATGTCATTTCTCTCTTGGCTATAGTTAAAGACCCTGTGGTGAGTATAACAGCTTATATGTGATACAGTATGCTGACAGTGACTTCAAACTACACAAGAAACATTTCTTTTCACTTCTTTTCTATGAGTTGTTTACCAAGCGCAAGTCCACCACAGAGGTCACATGGATGTGTCTGATGTGATCATACTTGCAGATATAAACATGGAGACAAGTAGAAATTCTGTGTGGCATTGTGACTCAGAATTATGGACAGATCTCTGACATAAGTCATTATAAAGTTCTTTTCTACTAAAACTTTCGACATAAGATAATGTCTGCTGAGAGCTGAAAATACTCTATATGTGAAAAATTTGTTCTATAACAATTTTTCAGCTGTATTAGTTCTAACCCTTCATGACTCAGCTGGTTCAGTTTTATTTATTTTAAATTCCAGTGATTTTAGTGATCATCAGATGGCGCCAGCTTCCATACATACATACATACATACAGTTGTTAAATTTTCAAAGCAGACTCCAAACTGTTAGCAGATATATGCTTTAGTACTAGGGTGATACAGTGATTTCAGGATCTGATGCGATCATGATACATGGCCCATAATCAGATTTGTATCATTGTACATTTACATTTCTAATGAAGTGCATTATTTAAAAAGGTAACTTTGTTTTTGATTATTGCCATTTAACAAGGAAAGTTTGAAGTAATTCTGTTTGAAGTAACAAATGAAAACAAGACAGGATTGATTGAGCTATTGTAAATTTTTACTTTTACATTTGGTGAACTGATGTATCATCCTTGCCATAATGGTTTCTAAAAACATTTTTAACTGGTTCATTCAAGTGATATCAATTTTGACAGTGTTAAGCAAGCCAGAGACTAGATATTCTGATATATGAATGTATTTCTTCATTGTTGCAAGTCCACCACAGACGTCACATGTATGTGTCTTATGTGATCAAATTTGCGAATATTAATATGGAGACAAGTAGAAATTCTGTGTGGTATTGTGACTCAGAATTATGGACAGATCTCTCACAACCTTCATAATTACACATAAACAGGAAAAGTACAGATTTCTGAGAAGATTTTGCAATAAAACATGCCTGAAAAGCTCATGGAGGCAGGTTTATGTAATTAGTTGTTTAGTATGAGATTTTACTAAAAGTAGGTTAACCTGTGAACTTACTGGGAGTTAAAAAATCGGTAAGCAGGACCAGACAATGCCAACTGGGATTTAGAAAGAAGCTGGAAACTTCCCTTTGTTTATAGCTGTACAATTATATATGATTGCATATATAAGTCAATAAGACATTACAAATTTATTTCTTTTATGAAAATCAAAGTGTAGTTTTTATACATGTTTGCCTCCACTGCATTCGTCTATAAGGCTGATCAAAGGATGCCATAAGAGCTCCCAATTTACAGAGCTGTTTACATAGATGGTATTGGCATAGTTTCTACTTTAATTGAAGATAAATTATCTGTTGGAAAGAGTTTGTTATGCTTTAAAAAGAAAAAAAGACAAACACACAAAATACCAATACATAATTTGCTTCCCTGTTCGCTTGTTTGATGTGGAATGCACTCTGTAAACAACAAGAATTACACAAGTACTTGTCACAGATTTTTGACTTTGGTTATTACAAACACTGAAGTGATCCCATTTTCATCTTTAAGTTAAGAGATGGTTCCTGAAATGTTCTTCATATTGACAAAAAAACAAATGAATTTTTAGAGAGAATGTGTATAACATGCCTTTCTAAATCAAACTACACTACAGTTCCTTTTTGAAAAGATAAACGGGTAAAGATATCTTGATTTATTACCAAGTGTAATTATGTTGATTTGGGCCACATTATTTCCAAAGCACTACCAAATCTCTCAGATGTTTGTTTTATCTGTAATATGGGTTTAAAAAAAGATAAAAAAAAATATTGTCATGTGGTTACGACAGTATATGTACATAAAGCTAGGTAAAATTTGATCTCATTTAAACACTTAAGTAACTAAAAGATAACATATTTATTAGTATTGACGCAAAACACAATCTATCATTCATTGACATAACTAGTGTTCCAATATGATTGTTTTGGTTGACTCTTAATCTGGTTTACATCTATTATAAGAAACAAATACAAGCAATAAAAAGGGGACACAACTCTTAACTGTGATAACTACCAGATGTATGTGGAGAACAAAGTAGAAGTAGGGATAGGTGGGGTTTGAATGTACAGCTTTGTAATGTATTCTGTTTAAAAACAGAACGGTGGTGCAATCAAATCTTTCCATTGTGAATCATTGCATTTCTTTGATTCATTTTGAGAATTGAGCAGATTACTTTGCCAAAACAATGTTTATGCCATTTCACTGAAATACTGATATAGGTTTTAATTCTTAAATAAAATACTCCTGATTTAGTCAGCATGCTTTGATGTGTGAATGAATGGATGAAAATTTGGATAGTAGCTAATAGATAGATCGTCAAATGTAGAAAAGTGCAAGTCCACCACAGACGTCACATGGATGTGTCTGATGTGATCAAACTTGCAAATATCAACATGGAGACAAGTAGAAATTCTGCGTGGTATTGTGACTCAGAATTATGGACAGATCTCTCACATAGTAATTATGTATATATTCAGTTTTCTTTATGAATTTTACCATAACCTGTATTTGAATAAAGTAGAAGGATTTTCGTTAAATTTAAGGAAATTTCTAGGATATGGCATTTTTATTACCTCATGTTCACAGATATCTTTTGTTGTGAATTGTTTTTGATGTTTATGGTGTCAATGATTAAAGGTCTCTTTAGATAGGATTCTAGTGTCTTGTGACTTGACTGATTGTTACAATACTTAGTAAGGTCAAACTGCATTAGTTATATGCTTACTGGATTATTTTTTATGCCCTTGCCATTCCATAGTCTTTTGCATATCATAGTGTTGTCCTTGGTTGTTGTCCCATGATTTTTGTTGACATTCAGTTACTCTTTAACCAATATAAATTTAGTACTGTAATTTGGTATTAGTTGTAAAATGATAATATGCAGGTCAAGTTATGAGTTCATTATTGTCAATTTATTCTTTCTAAATTTAGTTAAACATTTTCTTGAAAACCATAGTACCAAAATTGGAGAGGCTTGTTTAACTTTAGTGGTAATTCTATACACCTCTTCAATAACACTTAGAAGATCAAAATTTCTCTTTGATTGCCTTTCCTGTCTCTAACAACTAGCATTTCTAATGCTATTCTTTGGAGAGTTTCTTGAAGAAAGGTATGGAAGTCTGGAATTGAACCATGTAATGCTAAATTTATGACTATTTGATATATGTGAAGCTATTCTTTTTACCTGTTTTTATAGTATTACCAATAAATAATGACAATGGTTTCTTCTTTTTTGTAGTCGCGAACGCCAGCCTTGATATTTGAGCATGTCAATAACACAGATTTTAAGGTAAGTGGCAGCAATGTTTTAGATCTTGTAAATTATTAAGATATTGTTTGGAAAAAGTAATTTTACAACTGTTGAAACTTGTAAATGGATGAATTATTTTTGTAAGAGTAAATGTTTTTTCTTTTTCAGACATTGTATCAAACTTTCACAGATTATGACATTAGGTTCTACTTATTTGAATTGCTTAAGGTAAGTTGTTTTAAACTCTTCAATACATGGATTATAATCACAGTATGTGATATTGTTTCCATTTAAAAACTATTATTTGGACGGGTTTCAGTGATATTTGTTAAATAGCGAGCAGGTGGACAAAGGAGCTATAACTTTAATAATTTTCAATTTGTGCGCTGAGTTCATTGTTTTGACAGGGGTTTTTCACCAAATCGAATGCCAGGTTTCAATATTCTGTGATCTGTTTCAATAGGTTCCTTTTTCTCGACTATCTGTAATGCTGCTTCACAGTCTCTATGTTACAGACATGTCAGTTTCCTGAAAACACAAAAATAGTATCTTCACAGTCCCAAGCTGTTTATAGATGTTGAGCAGTGGGAAACTAAAACCGAATCCCTTGTTGATGACTTTTGAATGTTTTGATTGAAGAAATTCTGTGAAACTGAAAACATTTTCCAATAGAATTGTAATCAGTTGTATTTGTTTATTATACAAGATGTCAGGTCGATTTCTCCAGTGTGATAATTAATTATAGGAACTTGGTTGTTGTATTGAAGTGAGAACTGTTTCTTATTTCAGGCACTGGACTACTGTCACAGTATGGGAATAATGCATCGAGATGTAAAACCACACAACGTCATGATTGATCATGAAACCAGAAAAGTTAGTATACAAAATCCCATTGAATTGGTAACAGTTCTAAACATTATTTCAGTGATCTCAAGTACTGAAGAGAAATGTTTTGCAGAAATTTTATGCTTTGGAGAATGTTTAAAAAAAAAGACCAGTTTGCATCTACATTATTGCATGTTAGCAAATAAAATCAACCACACAAGATATGATTACAGTACAGTGATGAAATATTAATTCAACTATTATTATAACAATAAGACTGATATATGATGTTGACTTTATCCTATTACAGCTGAGGTTGATAGACTGGGGCTTGGCCGAGTTCTATCACCCAGGCATGGAGTACAATGTAAGGGTAGCTTCTAGGTATTTTAAAGGCCCAGAATTATTACTGGACTATCAGGTAAGCATGCTTGTTTTTAAGTTTTATTATGACATTGTATCCAAGTGCTAGGCTTTCCCAGTTCTCATAAAAATAATTTCTGCAAAATTGGTCATAATAGCAATCATTTGCATTCCAAGGATACACTTTTGCGAATGGTATATTTTCAGTGGATCCTTCATGTTATGGTATCTTATTTTCTAGAGAAAAATCTTATGATAACTGCGAAAGCTATATTTAAGTCTCTTAAAATGGAAGCGAGTCCCTTGCCATTGCAAGCTAAACAGAATTAGCTTAAGATGAAAAATGAAGAAATTTCCGTGTTATGAAAATGAATGGTCTTTGTTAGTCAGCAAGTGATTCTTTACCATAGGATAAAACAAATTGTCAGCCACTTAAAACAAATACTAGCCTATGTGATAAGTTTACCTATGTAAGATTTTAAATGTTTAAAAAAAAAAATGGCAAGTCCACCACAGACGTCACATGTATGTGTCTGATGTGATCAAACTTGCAAATATTAACATGGAGACAAGTAGAAATTCTGTGTGGTATTGTGACTCAGAATTATGGACAGATCTTCTATATATCTCGTGTTACAGGGATTGTAATATGATGCTCGTCAATGTAAAGGGTAAAATGTGAGAAACATTTAATTTGTCTCTCTAAAATCATTTGAAAAATTAAGTATTACATCAGTATTAATTGGGGCACTGCATTGAAGATGTGACTGGTTGTGGTTGTCTGTCTGTTTTTCATTTTAACACATTGTTTCATGTTTATATGTGCATATGACATAAAGCATTATTTAGTGAAATTAAATGAATAACCGACTACAGGTCCGGGTCATTCGGTCAAAGGTCAAGGTCAAATTTTGAATATTTCTCAAATGTTTTAGGTCAGAGGTTGAGGTAAAATTGAAATGTTTTACAGGTAAATGTCATGACATGATGAAGAATAATAAACAAACATCAAATGAGAAATCAGATTTAGTATTCTAGTATGTTTACTTCTGTAGGATTCATAGTGCCTTCAGATATTTATGTTCTAAAACTAGATTTAAGAGTAGTGTTTTGTAACAACTCTGAAAATCAAACAATATTTTTTTATTACAGATGTACGACTACTCACTAGATATGTGGAGTCTTGGTTGTATGTTTGCTAGCATGATTTTTAGGAAGGAACCATTTTTTCATGGCCATGACAACTACGATCAGGTAAAAGAGCCTTGTTAACTTTTATGTTGAAAACAAGACTACAGATAGGGCTATATATCATAAATCACCAATTTGCATTTACATTGAAAAGGAATTTTTCATACTTGTAAATTATGTTTCTTTGTCAGGTATTTTGTATAAAGAATAAGGTTTTCTTGTTGATGTGTAAAATATACAGATGGATGATTTAATTCAACATTAGTCTTGACTTAAGAATTATGGAATTGCCAATAGAACAAAAACACTATACTCATGTTACAGCTGGTGCGGATAGCCAAAGTGTTGGGAACAGATGAGTTGTATGCTTACATAGAAAAATATCAGATTGATTTGGATCCTAGATTTAACGATATTTTAGGAAGGTAAGTTAAATTTTTTTCTTTCAAAGAGTTTTTGATTGTGCATTTGTTTGAAAAAAAATTTGAGAATATATGATAAAAGATTGAAAGATTGTTTTCCTGTCATGAGCATTTAATGAATAATTTCTATATAAAGTATTTTAAAATTTCTTTAAAAGACATTCAAGAAAAAGGTGGGAAAGGTTTGTACATAGTGAAAATCAGCACTTGGTAAGCCCAGAAGCACTGGATTATCTAGACAAACTACTACGTTATGACCATCAAGACAGACTCACAGCTAGAGAAGCAATGGAACACCCATATTTTTGTAAGTATAATATTGTTAAAGAGAGAAAAAAAAGTAGTGTTAAATAGATTACAAAATCTATTGATCCTTCTTGAAGATGAAGTTAATTCTGGCTCCATGTGGGGGCGACCACTGAGGAAGATTTTGAAACTTTAAAGTTTTCTATTACGTTCTAGAGTATTTGAGCTTGGAAAATGGATTTCAAATTTTGCTCATATATTAGATAACCCTCTCCTCTTTTGTTTTAGGAAAATGCACAAATTAATATGTTATATCTTTGTTGATATAGAAATATTGATGTAACTTGTAAGATTTTCCTAATGATTTTGTTGATAATCACCTGCTTCCTGTTGCTGCAGTTTCAAAAGGATTTACATCCTTGTGTAAATTTTTTAAGTTTTACTAGTTTTTGTACATCATATAAGACATCATTTACATTTTGTATGATATTGCACAATGTTGACCAACATTACATGTAAGCTTGCATGTCACCTCATGCAGATAACACCTGTAGTAGCTTTATTCATTTGATTTACTACATGTTGTCGTATGTGATGTCAAAAGCATTGGGCACAAACTTGAGCACATCAAATCTAAGACACTTTGATTGCGTATTGCAAGTGAGACACGGTACATTTATCAGAATTATTGTGGGTTGGTATCAAGACTGAAAGGAACCATTCATGTAAAATGGAACAGAAAGAATGGAGGCTGTGCTTGGAGTCTAACAGAAAGATGTAGCCCAAGTAAAATGTTACCATGTTGCTCTTGATGCTTGAAGTCTTGTCACATTTCCTTTTTATATAGATTGTAGTCCATTAAAAACTGATGTTGAATAATTATGAGCTTTATTTGAGCTATCAAATTTTTTGTTTGTTCAATTTTACAGATACTTTATCTACATTTCCTTAACTTTTCAGACCCTATAGTGAAGGAACAGGGTAGGATGCCGTCAATGTCTGGTCACAGTTCTCCAACTCCAATCACAAATGCAGGACAGATAGGAGGTACAGGCAATAAACCGTATCGCTAGCACTCTCTTTCTACAAATATTGTGACTAGGGAAGACAGCCCTGACATGCTGGCTATAAAGCTGTGCAGGGGTAGTACCGGCAAAGGCAGCTAGGGCTGATCCTGGAACAGCAGGTCTCTTGATGACCTGGTGTAACATTAGCTACATCACAAATACATTCATAATCATCCACGGGAAAAAACCACAATTAAAAATATTATTGAAGTAAATTTGAATGCAACTTGAAAAGAAATCCTATTTTTCCCTGGAGGAGCTCTTGTTTTCTGCAACTTATCAGTTGCTGTGTATGGTTTAACTATAACTAATTACAAAATAGATGATTTTCTCAATAGTTATTATGGAGTTTTCATTATGTAATCAACACATCTTACATGTGAGATAAAACTTGTCACATATATGCCTTTTCATCAGCACCCTTTGCAAGAATAGCTGCTTCAGAAATGGAAGCAATATAAAATATTTTCAAACAAATTGAAAAATAATATTCATACAAAATAACTTGCTATGCATCATTTAAAAGAAATGTTTCTGTCCAAGTATATTTTGTAATCTCAAGGTGTTTGTGAATCCTGCTCATGTCCTGTGTAGGAATTTGTGCAAACCTTAGTCCCTACCATTGTGTGCCAAAATATCCCATCAACAATATGTGGATATGAACCTGTGTGTGAATTCCTTACTTGGATTTCTTGTTTGATGGAATTGTAGTGTCAGTACAATGGTTTTCAGACAACTTTTAAGAACATTGTGATGTATTAAAACATGTGAAACTAGATGTATATGGGCTTGCATCTATTACAGTAAAACAACTAGGAGTAGAACTGGAGATTGTAGTAGTTTTGTTGCTACGTGGATGTTAGCAGACAAAAATATTTAATGATTGGGGTTTACCGGTTGAAATACCTTCATGTATCAGAGAGTGTGAAATATATGCAGAAAAAAAGTCACTTCAAAAGTTTTGTAATATTTGGTGTCTTTTAGTGTCAATACCCCAGTTTTTAGTTGTGAGCTTCTAAACTCAACTTTGGGACTATTCAGTTACAACACAGTAGTGGGGGCCAAAAAAAAAAATCTGTTAAGATGCAATAACTTTTTTAGATTCCTTTTTCCAAATCACCCATATTGCCAAAAATGTACTCACAGAAGTGAAATATCAGTGCCTCAGGTGAAGAACATTAATTTCAAATCATTGATTGATCCAATATGACATTCCATTTTGTGTCGTAGTGCAGGAATCATAAAATTTGAAGCTGCATTGATTCTGTGACTAGGACAGGTTTCAGGATGTCTGTCCGTGTGATCACCTGTGATGAGCCGGGGGAGGTGGGATGAAGGAGGGGATGGGGGTTGGGTATCCATACATATGTTGTTCCAGCCAGACAACTGATCAGGGAGACCACTCCAGTGTTAACAATCATAGCACTATCACCTCTAATGGCTAACAGAAGCTTATGCCATTTTCCATATATAACTGCTTGCAGACTGTGTGCTTTTGTTGCCTTGGCTTACATCAGTAGATTTTTGATGATATGTATAAGATAGTGTAAGAGTTCCTGATGAAGCTTTAAATTCTCCGTTGCATCTCAGACATCATGGTGTTGGAAACTGGCATTTGCTTTTGCATGAATTGTATTCTGTTATGTCATCATGATACAGGCAAACTTGTCAAGTCTAAATCAGCATATATATTTAAAGGAAAACATGGAAATTTGAATGTTGTAAAAAAAGATTTGTGAAAATGAAAATATTTTCATTGTAACAAGAAACGTCCATCAGAATATTTGAAAAAAAAAATTTGAATTCAAAATAGTAAAAATTATCTTGTATTTTTATCTTGATGCTTCACAAGTTTGCTGATACGAGGAATCAGTCTTATTTTCAACTGTATGTAGGTTAATGGTATTTGATGCCTGTCAACACAGATTACTTTATTTCAAACTATGCCTCGTGTATGGCAAATATTCTAGTCTATAATAATACATCATACTACTGCCTTGCATTATATTAATATTCCATTTTCATATTTCTGTTTTATCAGAAATCTACTCTTCTTGAGTAATGCTTGCGAATGATCCTGGGATAAATGAAGTAAAACAAAAAATATAAATATTCCAATATGTAAAAGGAGTAAATTTATCGTACAAATTTTGGAGCAGAGCTCCTGAATTTGTTTTACTGGCACTGCCTATAAAAGGTTCTGCTCACAATGCTGATCTGTAATTGTTAATGGTAATTCTCAATTTATTTGGAGAGATTGGCAGTTGAGAAATTTACCCTCACATGCTTATCAGAATTGTTAAGCTATGTGTGGTGCCATTGTATTCAAACCTTCACTCCCATTGAGCATGAATGTAAATCGCTGCTGAAAAAAGGTTAACAATTGGAAATTCATAAGTGCAAGCCAAACAAGTTTTACTTCATTTATACCAAAAATAAGCTTAAGTAGATGTGAGGAGCATTTTGAGTGACATGAACTTTTCTTTCTTTCTGCCCACCACAGGTGCTCCTCCCGCGGTGAACAGCTCCGTGGCAGTATCCAGCTCTCCTGTCATGACCCCTAGTATGTCGCCCCTCCCCAACAGTGCTGCGGCAACAGCCCAGTCATAGGGGGCCAGCAAACGTCACATTGCCTGCCTGTCTGCCTGAATGCCTGCCTGCCTGTCTGTCCGCTCTCAGATCAAATCTGTCGGCTAGTCGGTCTGTCTGTGGGCACATCCAGATCAGTATGTGAACATTTGTGACCAAGTGAATGTGCTATATGGAAGTTTTAGTATCAAAGAGGGCCCAATCAGTACATTAATGATGATGAATATTATTATAGTACCTGGTCTGAAAGTCAACATGTTCCATTGTGATTTAGTTTATGATGAAATGTAGTCGGTACATTTGTGACGATCATGTTTCTCGGGTGTATTGACTTTACCGCTATTAGTGATATTGACTTCTAAATGGGAGTGAAATGTTCAGATTTCCTCTCATTTGCAGTATATATGGTATACAGTGCAAACATTTGCAATTTTTAGTGTTCTGGTTCATGTACTAGGCAGTGTGAGGACAGTGATTTGTTTACGGTGACGATGTACTCCTCACTATGTACATGACTGGGCAGTTTAATTACATAGATGCTAGGTAACTAACAAAGTAAATGTTGATTAATGCAGTATTTGGTGTCTAACTCTTTGTGCTACAGATGTTTTATTGGTGTATATCAATATTTAAGGGGACGGGGGGAATTAAGTTACAGTACCTATTATAGTGAGAGATCTACAGTACCTATTATAGTGAGAGATCTACAGTACCTATTATAGTGAGAGATCTACCCTTTATGTTTCCATAAAATATCACACCTGTGGTCATTCACTTACATTTATTTATTTATAAGAGATATGTATATTGTATTGTGATGTAAATCATTTTATACAAATAATCAAGAACAATTGTGAAGAGCAAAACACTAGCGTTAAAAGTTATTTTGAGTAAAACAAATATTATTTGTATAAACTGATGTAAAACAGTATAATATATTTTCGTGATTGTCTCAAGTAAGAATATAGCAAATCCCAGTTATACTTATACATTGTACAAGTCATTTCTGAACATCAATTTTGAATCTGTATCGGCTTCACTAATCACTGTTTCTGTTGGATATGTAACATGGTATACACATCTGTCAACTCCAGCTCTCTTGTTCTTCACACTACAATTTCATGCTTTTTGATCAACAGTCTGAGAGACCATTAAACTTATAAATTGGATGCGTAAGACTAATTGGTTTGTTGACACCTGACAGGTAAACACGTGTTTTGGAGGTGACAAAATACAATGTGAACAACAGAATGAAGGTTACCAGGGTATTACTATGTATTTCCATGTCTCCCCTTGTTGCCTGTATGGCTTTGTCTGGAACAGTCTCCTCTCTGTCATGTATCACTTCATTTAGAGCAGTCTCCCCTCAGTTCCTGTGTAACTACGTCTAGAGCAAATTTTGTTCCTGTGTCATAACATTTAGAGCAACTTTGTATTCTCTGTCGCATACAGTGCCAAATTTTGCATGTGTGGACCTCCTATGATGGTGAAGTGTTGCATATGATACTGAGGTCTCTTGTCCTACTTCATATTACTGCCCTTTGTTCATCATGCTTTATTTTGTCTGTGTCATGTCTTTATCACCTACAATTGGCAATTTATTTTTAATTTTGGTTTTACCTTGTTTTTTTGTTTTTTTGGTTTAGCTTAGTATGACACAATTATTTATACTATGTTGGGTTTCAGGTCCAGTTCATGGAGTTATGGCCCATTGTTCACCTTGTATCACCTTTCCTCGAAAAAATCTATATTCATTATTGCTCTCTGAAAGGCAGGTCCATCACTTTACATACTCAAACTTTAAATTTTGTGTTATATCATAGTTGTCAGGTCTGATTGTATAAAGATTTAAGTGGTAATTACTGAAGATTGTTGTATCTGTAACCAATTCTTTTGAACAGCAGGATACTTTGGTGATTGATGACATTAAGACCAATCACATTGAGTCTGTATAGACAAGACAAGATAGATGTTTCATTGGTGTCTACTTGTTACATGTATTTGCTAATTAACTGGGTCATACTATCCTGTTGGTTCGTATCACTTGTCATATCTGCATATTTTAGCTTTGGACTGGCAACAGACCACAGTCTTGGGGGATTGTATCATAATCTCTTAATTAAATAGTGTGATGAAAGTATGATAGAAGGGCATTGACAACCTGAGATATTTATGTGATATCGTAATCTTGGGAATGAATGTGTGCTTTATATGCCAAAAAGTGATGGAAGAAAATGTGCGGTTTGTGAATTTTTTTTTAAGAAGGCTGAAACGGGATGATAATATTTAAAGTAATCTTTTCAGGTAGGTTTTTCTCTGATAGACTAAAGAGTTTACAGCCTTGCATTGTGAATAAATATTAAAGATATTGTAATTTTTTCAAAAAAACGTAAAATTTGTTTTTGAAGTGTTGAAAAATTTGAGATGTTGTAATTTCCGAGTGACTGAATTAATACACATGTGTTTGCATTAACATCCTGTATATGAGAGTGCCAATAAATAAAAGTACAAAATATTGTTATAGGATTATGGAAGTTCAGACTTACTAGTCCTGTAATCAGTGGAATCACATTATTCCAGATCCTGTTTTCTGTGTATAGTGGGACCTTGTCCACATCGCTTAAAATGTACAAATAACAACCCAACCAGTCCAGACATAGAGGTTTTAGGCAGCACAGAACCTCAGTAGTGGTGGCTCTATAATTTACATGCTCAAAAACAACCCAGAAGTCTTGCTACAGTTTCGTGGTAGTACAGAATCTTTTCTCTATACACTAGCTTATGTGCTCAACAAACAACCCCTGAAAAAGACTTCTGTGTGTATGAAACCTCATTGGCACAGGCATTTTGCACACAATGAATTTACAGATGTTTGGCTCCCTGTAAGTCCTGTCAATGATAAGTAGCACAAATAAGTCTGGTCAACACTATACGCAGAAGACTGCCTGGTCAATGCATCATGCTAAGATTGAATCTGGTCAATACTTTGTACGGTAGAATCTGGTCAATGTTGGTACCACAAACTGCCTCAGGTCAAGGCTTTGTGTCACAAACTCCGTGTGATCAAGGCTTTGTATTACAGACTTGTTCAGGTCAGTAATTTGTACAACAGATTTATTCAGGTCAATACTTTGTACTACAGACCAAGTCTGGTCAGTACTTTGTACTACAGACCTAGTTTGGTCAGTACTTTGTACCATAGACCTAGTCTGGTCAGTACTGGTCAGTACTTTGTACTACAGAACTAGTCTGGTCAGTACTATGTACTACAGACCTAGTTAGGTCAATACCTTGTACCACAAATTAAGTCAGGTCATTACTTTGTACCACAGATCTAGGTTTGGTCAGTACTTTGTACCACACATCTTGTTTGGTCAGAACTTTGTACCACAGACATTGTTGGGTCAGTACTTCGTACCACAGACAGGTCAATGCTCTGTACCATAGATTTAGGTCGGTGCTTTGTACCACTGACTGTCTGGTCAAAGTGGTAAAAGAACCATCTTTACCTTGTCAATTCATTGGTGCAATCTTAGAGTAGGGTATATATAAACTTCTATAACAATTTCATTTACATTAGGATTTCATTCCTTGACCTGTCATTAACCCATCATTTGTAGCATCAAATTGCTGAAATAACATGTTTTTAACATTGTGAAAAATCCAGGTTGTCATGTGAGTGAATCAAAGAATTTCAAGTATATGATGTTGATAACATAATGATTTTTGATTAAGGTAAGGAAAACCAATACTAGAATCAATCTGGTTTTATTTAGGAATTCTAATGACTACTTTAACAATGATATCGGATATGAAAATTGTTGTTAGATTTGTTCCAAATTATTGCATTGAATTCACATTCATAAGATGGCATAAATCATTCTAAATTCTTTGTGAAATATATTTCTGTGTTGAATGAAGTACTAAGATCCATGTTAGTATCTTTTTTCTTGGAGCTGTTAATGAACCTACCCACAAGTTGGCATTTCCAAAGTGAGTTGGTTTTCGCATACTGAAAATTTCATGATGAAGGTAGTTCTGCAAATATACAAATGACCAAACAAAATCTTATATAGAGTAAGATATTATTGATACACCGTGTGTGTTTTATTTATAATTTTCCTCTAAATGTTGTAGAGGTGTGAGGGTGGGAGGAAATTATTACTGCAATTTAGTGTGGCCTAATTTGGAGGGAAAGATGAAAGGAAGTGGCTCAATACAACTGGTGTAAGTTTCTCTAGCATTTTTTGGTAAATTAGAGAAACATTCGTTACAGTATATTATTCATTGATCTGCAAAGAATTTTAAAAAATAAAATTCTGAAATCTAAGTTGGTTTTGTCTTTTTTTTATGAAGCATTATAACTTGTCTTTGTGATGACAGTTGTCATCATGTCTCCTTTGTAAGAGCATTGGTTGCAGAAGATACATGTTGATAGAGATTTTTATAAAGGCCCTGCATTGAAGGTGCATGTCTGTTTTTTTTTCAATAGCTTACTTGGCCGGAAGGGCCAAATGAGCTGAAGGAAGACCTCGTGTCTGTTGTCTGTAAACTTTTTCTAGAAATTGCTACTAGTCATGGACGACTGACAGGATTTTGACCAAAATTGGTCAGCAGCATTCTCAGGGGAAGGGGAACTGTTTTTGTATAAATGAGTTTTTCAAAATCCTACTCTTGTAGTAATATTTTTGGCCAAATTTGGTCTGAAAATCTTTGGGTTAAGAGGAATCAAGTTTGTATAAACGGTTGATCTCTGGGGGCCCCTTGGGATGGGAGGGGCAGGGCCCAATAGGGGAAATTGAATAAATTCTGAATATCATACTCGTCCTATAGGAATGATTGGATTTTGTCAAAATTTGGTGTGAATCATGTTTTGGTGTAAGGGAATCAATTTTGTATGAATTATGGATCTAGGCAGGGCAGGAAGTATTAGCTTAATATGGGAAATGTGATGGAAACAGCTTAGATCCCTATCTCATAAAACCATGTATAGCATTGCTGGGCATAAAGAGATCAACACAATAGTGATGTAAGACTTGGCTCTGGGGTCCAGCCCCACCCTCAGACACCTAGTTCCTTGTTATATCTTTGAAACAGATTATACCCATCTTTAACATATAAAGCAACAGGTAAAACACAATCATGATATTAGAATTGGTCCTTGAGTCTGGCCCCATCCATCTGGACTTAAATTTCTGGGTGATATCTTTGACACAGTTGAAATCCCCACCCCATAATCAAGAGATAAACACATTCGTTATATAATAATTGACCGGTGGGTGTGGCACACCACTAGGGACATTATTTCTGGGTCAATATGTTTGATAAAGTTGAGATACCAACCCGATAACCATAGAAACACTTAATTGGAATCAATAGAGAAAGACAGTCATGATATCAGGATTTACCGATTGGTCTTGTCTCATCAAAGTGGTTAAGTGACAGAGCTTTAATTTGGAAATATTTGAAATACCCAACCTTTAGGCATGAATACCATTGCTGGGCTTTAAGATCCATATGAGTGATACAGGCCCGGAATGTCTCTTGTTTTGTGTATTTTTTCAAGCACATCAATCTCAAGACCTGTTTGGGCAATAGCACTTTACTCAAGGCTTCCTCGAGTGGTAATGATTTTCATTTACTGAATTCAAATGTCAAGGTCAGTAACTATAAATCGAAAAGCAGTTTCCGGAAAATGTCATCTGTCGCTTGGTTAAATACAGTCGGACTTTTTTATATTGCTTCCCACAGAAAGTGCAAGCTCGCGATGGCATTTTATATTCAACTTCACCGTTGTAAAAATAGAAATGGGAATAACAGAAATCAAATTTGAAGTCGCCCAACCACAGGTCAAGGGTGAAAGTGAATTTTTACATATTTTATAGGTAACACAGTTTCATTAAAATTGTCACCAATTTCACGTTGTTTAATTATTCAGAGCACATATAAACAGTAATTCTTTATAAACATGGCAGTTTTCTAGTTAAAAAGTTAAAAAGTGAGAGATGAATATAATCACTGCATGGAAATTTACCGGTTTATTCATCCCAGGAGTAATATCTCCCATAGAGTGAAGGCACGTACTACAGATCAGGCTTCATCAGAGAGATCTTGGAACTAAATCTCCTGGTAAGTTTGCCGAGCCTGGACTTTCGAACCAAAAATAGAAATTAACTTATTCAGCTATTCAATAGAACATTAAGCATGTCTTGGTGTTGCTAGCCCAAGTATTCTCAGACATTTTGGTAGACAGCTTTCTGGGATGAATATCTGGTGAAGGTCAGATACAACATGAGAACCTCGGGCTACATGGTTACCGACATCGCTCAACAGAAATCGAAGTATACTCTGTCGTGTTAACCCTCTCCTCATCCTCTATACTTCAGGGGATACGATCACTTTACCTCTCTGCACCTCTGGAACAGGTCATGGCAAAACTGAAGGCGAAAGCGATGTGGTTTTATTAGTTCCAGTAGAAAAAAAAACCCTGACCAATCACGGGCTGATACGCTCCTTTTGAAGATTACAAAGGAGCGACACCCAACTTCCAAGAAATTACAATATAATGTCACTCGACCTCGAGATTCGTTTGATGTTTGATGGGTCAAACAAGTCATTTCGTCTTATCCACAAGTTGTCGCACTTGGAACCATCACTTTTGCCATGGCATGTTCCAGGGGTGTAGAGATCGAGAGTGATCGTAACCACTTGCCAAAGGTTACACCGACATTGACTTTCCCATTTAAGATGACCATGGCAATCAAATGTACCTGGTCATTAATATGCAAACATGTTTTTCTTTGAAACAAATATCTGAATTTATTCTTTTTTTTTCTCAATTGGTCATAGTAAATTGTTTGTAATTTATAAAAAGTTGATGAATATGCTTATAAATACAATTTGATGCTAATTCGATTGGCATCTAAACTTCTAGAAATCTTTAATGTGAAGTTTCCTTAGGAATCGCAACGATGACATTTCGTGACCTTGAAATATGACCTTGCTCAAGAACTGGGGTAAGGAACGATTGCTATTCCACTTAGGAAGCTAACAATGTTTTATATTAAGGTTCGCTGAAATGCTGTAGCCCTGACAATATTTTAGTTTTGTTTACCTTGTGCTCTGGCCATAAGGAGGTAGGGTATTAGTATTAGTACAACGTAATCATTACCTTGTGTGTACACGTATTTTCTTCCGAAAGTGGCATTCTTAAATGAGTCGGTGATCTATACTTTTTGTACATTAATTTGAAATTCAGTTCGCGTTCGGAACTCCGTGCAACTCAAGAAAATTTCTTTTTCAGTTCACTTCAAATCGATAAGTTATATTCCCAGGATGCTGTAAACAAGAATTTTAAGGTTTTGGACAATTCTGTAGTTGTAACAACAACTTTTAAAACCGAGGAAGCGACTGAAGAAAGTCGAGATTAGTGTAAATAAAAGTCGAAAACTAGATAAAGAAGTAAAATTGTACGGTACATCTTATAAGAATTTGATTTGTCTGTCACCTTCAGACTAACCTTGTATGGGTGGTCAGATGAGTATGATTAGTCGGTCATTTTCACTTGTCTGTCACTGTCAATCTGATATCGTACGGCGGATCAGGTGAGGCTCTCATTCGTCACCTTTATTAGTGCCATCACAACGTAATATGACTGTTGATGACATCACAAGATGATATGATTGTTGATGCCATCACAAGATGATATGACTGTCGATGCCATCAAATTATTGTGTTACTATTGGTTTCATCACAATGTGATATGATTATTGGTGTCATCACTGGGCGATATGACTTAATCTCCAAATGGTTCGGTCACATCGTCCATTCATCATAGTGAAAATGTGTGTACTACTGTCTTAGTGTATTGCTCGTCAGTTAGGAGTTGTCGCATCACTTTAGGTCTCTTAACATTGACTATTGGTGTCATCACAAGGTGATATGACTGTTGATGTCATCAGAATGTGATATGATTATTGGTGTCATCACTGGGTGATATGACTTTATCTCAATCACATCGTCCATTCATTCTTTAGTGAAAACGTGTATACTAATGTGTTGGTAATATTGCTCGTTAGTTAGGAATTGACCAATCACTTTAGGTCTCTTAACATTGAATTTCATCGTGCTGTAGATTTTCATTGCAAGATAGGATTAGATATAGTATCGCTAAGCATCACACAGAATTTATGAAAATTGTACGGATCAAAATAATAGGATGTTTTCAACACTTCAATAGACTGACAATATACTTTCAACAACCGAAGGCTTAAAAAACTAACAAAATACATTTCGAAGTCTGTGCGCCGCTCATTCTTTACAAACAAACTAAAAAAAAATCGAATCATTTTACCTACATACATGTTCATCCGATGTTGTGATCTTAGGTATTTAAGAACAAACACAAATTTATATAAATACTAGTTTTATGTATGTAACGAATGTAAAAAGGAAGGAGGAAACAAAAACACACACCCTTCTCTGGTCATCGCCCGTAATAATATTAACAGAGGTGAAACTTAAAATGGAATTAAAGGATGGGTAAAGTTAAACATAAAAAATTTTAAATTTATCATTCAAATCGATCTATGTGGACTATATGAAATTAATGCGAAAATGTGATTCTAATGTGGCATGTAAAGCAGTCAGTCATATGTTTAATCTGACAGTAACAAATAACATAAACGATTGTTTACATATTGTAGAAAATATGTTATGGTTTGTAAACGCGAAATAAATGTGTTTTTTTTATGAAATAACTTAAAGAGTATGATCATAGTTACCGTGGTTGCTAACATGTCATCATATCCTATAAACCTATGCCCGAATCAAGAGTGTTGATTACTCTAAGATAGTATAAATCTAGTGTAAACACCATACAATGTAACATAACATAGGTACGCGAGTTAAATGTTGACATGTTATCCCTTCTACGGTTTAGGGTAGTACTAAATCATGATACATTGTACCTAATATAGAAATGCTATATTTGACCGGAAGGACGAAGCACGACCATAACCGGATATCCATGTTTTTATGTAGCGCCAGGATGTTTTACTAAAATCATTGTAATGATCGTGAGTAAACGTAACATAATATATTTTTTCATATATGATGTATAAATATCTTATCATTTACACAGTTTGAAATAGTTTGGTTGCAAAAAGGTGCGTAGTGCCTTGGATACAAGCGTAGCAACTATATCCATGCGCGGCCTTCTTACCGCCCTTGACAACTTGCTAAGACTAGCTACACACACTCTGTCTTTCACTTGACAACGTGAACACCGAGGGAGCAGGACCTATGATAGTCAGCGGTCCAGAAGTACTGTTTTGATACGTATTAGTGTAAATTCAAGTCTTTAAAAATGTTCAAGAACACATTTCAGAGTGGCTTTTTATCAATACTATACAGTATTGGAAGTAAACCCTTACAGATTTGGGACAAAAAGGTAAGAGAATTATCTTTGTGTGAGACGACAGTTATCAGTCGATCGCCATAGTGACATGGCTGGCAACAAGTGCATCGAGTGCTTCTTACTTGATATTTAGTCAATAAATGTTGATGATTAACTGTATTTTTACATTTAAACATTTAAATAATGATCAAAGACATGTTATATTTTGTCAAACGGCATTTTAACCAACTTTTTATTATAAAAATGATTCGAGATATCTAAAACGGAAGTGGCTGTAACAGTTTTCATTGTGTATTACATACATATGCCAGTTTATGGCTTCGGTTAAAATTCTTCTCCCATGTTAACTGTATTACGTATGTCACGATTAATTAACATTATTATTCTGAAGGAAATAAGACATTATACTTTAAAAATCGTATAGACATTGCGACGAAAACGATTCAACAATTGATCTGCATGTAATCACACGTGTTTACTCTATCAACAGCAATCATTGAGGTTCTGTTTAAATTTAATCGAATATTATTTCAAATTTACCACAAGATAATGTAAAGACTTATTGTCATTATTGTTATCACAATATGTTTCTGGGGAATTAACATTTAACTGATGATGTACTCGTAATGTTACCGTTGCTATGATGTGATCCGCCATTTGCAATTTTTTTGTTTATTTCGTTTTCGACAACGAAGACAGTTTGAATTTAAATTTGCGTTATCATTGTTTTTCAGGTGCGAAATGGTCACATAAAACGTATCACAGACAACGACATCCAGTCTCTAGTTTTAGAAATTGTCGGTACAAATGTTAGGTAAGTTGTATCAATATCAAAACATAAAAATTGTGGAGAAGTTATCTCCCCTGTTGTTAAAGATGAAAGATAATGAGTCACTTTTCATTTTAAAAACGGTATCGCTTCGTTGTTTCTATAAACTGTTGATTAAAATTTCTTTATGAAATTATTTCATATCATTGTTTTGAAAGTATGCATGTATGATAAATTTCCATTTGCTCCTGAAATTTGTTTACTGAAGGTTTCAACTTTTAACAGCAATATATAGCATATAGACTACTGCAAAATAAATTACATTTTAGTTTTTAAATTAAGGCCAAAACATAGTTCCTGTGGATATGATGGTTGAATAGTAAATATTGATGGCATATATTTTTTCTTTTGCAGTACAACATACATCACATGTCCAGCAGATCCAAAGAAAACACTGGGTATCAAACTCCCATTCTTGGTCATGATCATCAAAAATCTCAAGAAATATTTCACATTTGAAGTACAGGTGAGTACTTATTGCATAGGTGATGCTTGCAAATTACTGGTGCTTAAATTCATCAGTTTTTCAATATAGTTTTTGACACATTTCAATTTCAAAAGTAAATTTCTTAAAATTGACATTTCAAGAAAGAAATTACATATTTTTTAACTTCGTTTCCAAATATTCATTCACATGTTGCGTGTGTAATTTCAGGTTTTAGATGACAAGAATGTACGAAGGCGTTTCAGAGCAAGTAACTACCAGAGCACAACAAGAGTGAAGCCCTTCATCTGTACTATGCCAATGAGGTTGGACGATGGCTGGAATCAGATTCAGTTCAACTTGTCAGATTTCACAAGAAGAGCTTACGGAACAAATTACATTGAAACACTTAGGGTTCAGGTGAGTTATAAACCTTTCACATTTGAATTATCAAATAAAATGGTTACTGAACCACAAAGAAATTTGAACCATAATTCAGAAATTAATTTTCTAAATCAGGCTTTTAAAATTTGACAAAAAAAAATTGTGCAAATGGAACAAAAAGTCTGAAACATGTTCACTAAGTAATTTCCTATGTTCTTGTTTTTTCAGATTCATGCAAACTGCAGGATCCGTCGTGTGTACTTCTCAGACAGACTTTATTCAGAAGATGAATTACCTGCAGAATTCAAATTATACCTACCAGTACAATCGAAGCAACAAAATAAATAACATCATTTTGACATTAAACATTGACAATGTATATATATATGCAACAAATTTTAAAAATGCTACTCAAGAAGAACAACAATGTGAAAAGAAATTAGGAAGAGGACATTTTTCAGGCAGTATGATCATCGGGCATGGCTCAATTAAATTGTCATCGAGCACTAGTAATTCTGCCAGTGTTTACAGTCAAAGATATTCATTATGGAAACAGGATGGGGAAGATTGTACCATAACATAGTGCTGTCTTGTGATATCAAACCAAAAAGTGAAATGCCATGGCCATTGCTGAAGTGTTCATTTTACAATCATATCCATGTACCTGCCTGTTGTTGAGTGCTAGTTAAGGCACTTAATAGCCATATTTAATATTTAAAACTAATGGCCATTTCTCCACAAAATGAACAAAACAATCTCAGGAATATTTTTGGCAAAACACTGCAGTTATACAGGGGATGGCTAGCTGAATTTCGATTATGTGAACTCATGCCAGATGAAAGAAATTTTTATAAATGTTGGAATAAAGATAACTAGAAATGAATCTAGGTGTCTTGTATTCAGTTGGGGATATGTTGCAATATATACCAGATTACTTGTTAAAACTTGTTGAACGTATGTCCCAACTTATCATCACAGTAAAATCTCATTTCAGTCCGAGTCATGGTAATATTACAAATGTTACTACACACATTATGATCAATTTGTAAATACTTCCATATAGTAAATAAATTGTATATTGATGTACATACATGCCAAATATACTTATCAGTTATATTTGTTGTTTTTCAATCACAGACTCTATTAGGGTTTTACACGATCAAGCACTTTGGTCTGATGGGGAAAAATGATAGAAATAGGCAAAGAGAGTTTTGTTGGAAACTTGATTTACACAGTGGGTGATGTGTGGTGACAAATTTGAGCACCACGAAAAAAAAAGGTTAAAAGCATGGATGATATCCGAGTGCTTGAATTGTAATTCCCATACTAGATTCTGATTTGTAGTCAGTTAAAAGACTACTGATGAATAGAAGATCAAGAGAATTCAAAATTTCTGAGTCCCACCTAAGAATATTGGATTTCTTTGAAAAGGTTTGGATGATATGCTGCTACACCTTCAGACAACTGGTTTAAAAATGAGACTAAATTTATACCACCATCAAACTGTTCACAGTTACAGCTTAATTCTCTTTAAAAAATTGTGTTTAGACGGGTTCCTTGAGAAGTATAGTCCAACATAACCAAGACGCAGCATTTAGAAAGACTAGTTGACACCTCAACATATCATTAGGGATGCTGAGAGACTGGACTTGGGTTTCAACTTGGTGAATATTTTGGTTTCTTGTAAAGTACTTGTACTTTTCCATTCAAACATGGAATAGGATTACATTGTAGAATATACATTTGAATGCACCGATTAGATGATATGAAGTTTACTTTCTTGATGTAGTTTCGAGACAAAAACTTTGACTTTGAGACGTGACTACTAAAGTTAATATTCACTTCAGATTTAGTTTAGAGACATACTGAAACGACTGCAAAATTTCAGACAAATTTTCTGCTACCTCATTGCAAAGGGTAATTTAGGGGTAATGTCATATATGTGTATCTCCGATGCACATATTAAAAGTAGTTTCCTATGCTAATTGTAGTACCTCTATTCATAAAACAAACGATAGTTATGGTTAACGGAAAAAAAATTCTGCTTTTACGAACAGAATATCTTGGCACACTAGCCTATTGGCGCAGCCTGCCAACATGACTTTGAAATATTGAAACCTGTGTGCAATGTATAGTATGAAATTAGGGATATACACAATGTTACTTCTGTTATTGAGTCAAAACATCTGAAATGGTGATTAGTGTTAACTTAGCTGATATTTGGGCTTCATCTGAACTACGATGTTCTGTCGGGAAACTGAACCAGTTATGTGCATGCCAAAATTTCTCTATCTGAAAATAGGAACCATTGATTTCATACGAAAACAAATTCCATTAAATTTTACACGTTTAAAAGAAAGAGATTTGATTGAACTTAATTTTGATATCACAGTAAACTCACAAATATTTGATGCCAGATATATAATTTAACTTTTAAATTTTTGGAATAATTTACATCACAAAAATGGACTTTAATGTTGAACACTTTGTTTTGATGAAAAACTATAACATTATATGGTGTTAAGGAATTTAACTCAATGATCCAGGAAAAGGACCAATTTACCAATCCAGGGTTGATGAAATCCAAATAATTTTACATCTTAACTGTGACTGATTATGGCAGAGTCAGTAGATAACAGAGCAAATACAGGGATAGTTTTCGCTCCACTTACTACGATTAAGTGATGTTATAAAGCATTAGAAAGCGTCTTTGTTTTAATCTCTATTCACGTCTTTTTATAATATGTATCAAACTTTAATGATGATGTTCACTATAGGAATATGAAATGAATTGAGAACTGTCTACTCAAAAGATATTATCTAGCTACATTTGCCTACATTTCATTCTGCCCCTAACATTAATTTAAAATGCAGGTTACGCCAATATCATTTAAATTTTTACCAGTACATAAACTGACATTAATGAAGGAATATCAAAAGTAATTAAAAAACTGAAAAAAAATCTCTTCAAAGATGAATATTGAAAATAATAAATAGAAGCATCATGCTTCGTTTAGCTGACATTCCAGGGCATAACCGCCTCATATTGTATTTACCTTTATCCTTTTGGTATTTATAACGCATATGATTGCCATCTGCAAAACTAAACGACGCTATTGATGTTACCTGGTTACGTGACTCTTGAATTCTACATATGGACTTATTAATGGGATTGCCTCTTGCTTAGCACATTTCTGTAATCTCATACTGCATTCATTTAATCTGATTTGAGTGTGGATATTTATAGACCAGCTTTTTGATACCGGAAGGAAATTAAGAGTCACAATCGATAGACAGAAAAAAAACGTGTTTTTGAATAAACAATAAATCAAGCAGCTAGAAATGTGAACCGGACAGGAGTCTAAAACACTGTGTTAAACATTAAGTACAGATTTATTCGTAAGTGTCGATATATTTCAGTAAATTTTGAATGTAACAGTAGCACTTCCCATTTAGCAGGGAAATAATTGGCAATGTGACATTTACGAAAACAGGAGAGGTCTGTGTGCTAGGTGAACAGTCAACTGACTGTACTGTGTAATATCGATAGTTTTTCTATCTTAATTGTCCGACAGCACGTTCCACTTATGTGAAGTCTTGTTCAACCTTCACTACAACACGCGGTATGTACATATACAGGTAAGAAATGACACTCGCTATACTATGTCGTTAAGGGGGGAGACACAGCAATGTGTACGTTTAAAACCACATTTTTTTTACTGGACGTTAACACACAACCAATAATATCGTATGTTTCTTGGAAAAGGTTTCGTGTTAGTCAAAGCACACTTCACTGAATGAATCTTTGTGTATGGGAGTTTTCTTTTTTTTTTTCTCCAGCTGAACTTTTAAATCGAATTTACGTTTCCAGAGGTATAAATTTGATTTAAAAAAAAAAAAAAAAAATCAATAACATTTTCAACTCTATTTGAAAGAACTTACTTATACATATTAGCCTATAATAACGCAAAGGTACACCACGGGATTTTTAAAAATATAAGTTCCTTGATCTCTCGAGATTTTCCAATGTCTATTCTCTGATTTAAGTTACAAGTTATTTCATGAATTGCGTTTAGTTTCTTATTTACACAGACTTGGCTATAGTCTTTATCATAGTCCATAATTTTACAAAATATTAGCCACCCGTGATACAACTTTAAGTGTTTGTATGAATCGCCTTATTATTAATATCTAAATCGAAAAGGTTGAGAATGTGATTGTTAATAAACGCAAGAATCCCCTGTGCTGATTTATTTTGCATCGGTATAATTAACAAACAGGTAACTAAGCAGCGGTGATGTAGCAGTGCTCATCATCTGTCGCCGCCCAGATACAGATGGGCGGGGATGGGCAGCATGCATGCAACCCGTTCGGTGATATGAACAATTCAGAGGCGCATACGTCATCGCCTCCGCCAGATAGTGTGTCGAATCGAATAAAAAAGTTCTTTGATGAATCTAATAAATTTTTATAATCAGTTTGTGCGCGGGATTGAAAATTCATCAACTATAACTATTCTCTTACTTATTCTTAAATTGCACATATTACAAAACAATATCACATAACATTGATTACGTTAAAAGCGATCAATGTCTTGTTTTATTTATTAACTATCCAATCCTCAATCCGGAAATCGATTTCACTTGTACTTGTATTGTGACACCGACATGTGCAGTCTGGTGTATACGTTACCATGGATATTAACATGCAGACAGAGACAGGAGACGGTGGGTGGAAGGCCATTTTTTGAAAATTAATTGATTATTCCAGGAATCCAGACCTGACTGACGTTGTGTCAGTTTTGACACATTATCAAACTCGTTTACATTGAATATACTATTTACGGTATCATATTAAAAAAAATACATTAACAACACAATGATTGTATAAGCGATAACATTTACAGGTCAACGAAAGACTAGAACGATGAGCTCGTGATATACCGGAAAGTCATCATGTTATTGGTCTGTACACGTAGAAGTGTTTTGCCTTGAAATGCCGTTGTCAGGGAAAACACTGAAACTAGTCGTTAATTCAGTATCAATTTAAAATTTAGGACAGTATAAACATGGAGGATTAATACTTAGAAGTTTTGCCAAAGCACCTTTATATTCTCGTCCATTGGTAATCAAAACTACAGTACAACTGTTATGCTGTATGTTCAGTATCCATGGCATTGATGGGGGCGTGCACGTACACGCGGAGAGATAGAAACACGTGCAGTCACGGCATAATCAATATCTGAGCTAGATAGAAATTCCAGGAACATTAAGTACCACGTGACATTCTATCAACGATATCTTCTAATATTTCAATAGGGGAGTGATGTTGTCATTGAAAACTCAGTTGTATTTATTTGTAATTATTGATAATTTACATATCTAATCCATGTCTTCGTGGACATAGGCCAAACTGATGTTTTTTTTCTAGTGCCGTGTTTCAAAACAAATCGATATGCACCACATTTAAATCATGCACGATACTTGTTTCATGCGTAATTTTTTGAAGTTAAGTGAGCCTATACTTCTAGCTGTATCTCGTGTCGTCTAGATAACAATTTGTTGTTCACTGTAAATCTTCAGAAACGTCTTTGTTTACGGTATCCAGGAAGCAGAGACAAGACAGGACTATACTCGCACATGTGTAACTGTTTACGTTCGACAGAGGACACGCCCACTTCCGGTATTACATACTCGTTTCACAGAACTACTTATGTGTTACTCAGATGTTGCATCTTCCTTATCACGGGTAACTCACGTGATATTACATTATTTGTGCAATCAAAAACTTCATAACCAGAAGTAATGCAAAACTTAGCGAACACTGAAAGCAAACGGGTACGACATAAGTGACATGGCTTCTGCAACGGGACATCATGACCAACTGAGACAATGTATTCTAGATAAGTTGGATGGAAATCCATTTTACAAAGAGACAGATGTGTTTCTGAAGTTATTATTCGAGAGATCACTTTTGAAACAAGACCAAAGGGACCACGAACAAGCTGAGAAGTAAGTTGGTTTTTCGTTATCTTGAACGGGACTAATGGAAGGGAAGTAACTCTAGATATGAATTGTATACAAGTATTACTGATAATTGTGAAAACTGGTGAATTATACCTTGGCTATCTTATTATCCACTATTTTTTTTTATAGAGGCTCAATAATATTCCGCGAAGATGACGAAGAAAATAATTCACTAAATACATGAATGAAATGATAAAAAAAAAAGAGTATAATGTATTTAATAACTAATTATTTTTATCAAAATATAAATGACATGCTTTTAAATTAAAATCTTTACTGTCAGGTGGTTATTTTGGGCCCGGCATGAATCCAAACTTCGGTGTGTGAAAGCTGGTGTTCCAATTGGTATTTTGCCAGAGGGTATTGAGGGTGAATTGGTAGATGTCAAAGTTTTCTCCAGAGGGCCTGATGATGCTATTTATGACAACAACGATCTTATCAGACGCAAGGTTTGTAACACCCGACATCATGTAATTTAATAATTTTTTATTTAATCAGATACAAGTTCTATGATTAGTTACTTCATCTTCTTCTAAGGTATCTAGTATATTGGAGAAAAAAAGAACCCATCATTACATAGATATGAAGGGATCCTGAAAGTGAGTTTTGATAGCTCAGTGGTAGTAATGTTGGCATACACAACCACATTTGAAGTTATGTGGTTGAAGTCATTCCCAACCTTAACAGTTCGTATTTCTCAGGAAGCTGAAATAGGGATAGGTATATGTGATTGTGTCGTTTGCAAGAGATTATTCCAATTACTCTTGACTGCCTGTGAGGAGCCTCCTGCATGTTGTTCAGTGAAACCTTGCCACAAAATTACCCAGGCTGTTGACAGGACAATAAACCCAGCTATTAATCCACCAATCAATAGAAGTCTGTAGAATCGAGAACCAAACTCATATTGGGTACTAACTTGGTAGTCCTTGGTGGTGTTTTTCTACATGCTCAAGTTCAGATCAACATAATTATGATATTTTGATGTTTGACCAATATAATTTACATGCATTTCAGAATTTTGAAACCCTAAGATGATGAAAGTGATAAAATTTACTTTATTTTAGTAGGACTTTTCATTTGTTGTGATGGAGCTAAAAACTTTAAAATTTCAATTTTTGTGATCAGTTCCTAGTGTCATAATTCATCCATCGAAAAATGAGAAAGAAATCTGCTGAACTAGGTCAATTTTTTTCTTTAAAGTCATCAATATGATGACTCCTTCCATCCATCTGTCCATCCGTCCGTCCATCCATCGGGACATTCTGCCATCCTTCCGTCCGTCTTCACCTGCCATCATTCTTAAATTTTGTGTTTTATTTCATTAAGTGAGAAAGAAGTCTGTTGAACAAGGTCAATATTTTTTCCTTTAAAATCAATGTAGTGATTTTATAGGCTTTCCTATAAGAACAGGTTTTGATAAAAAATCATGAAAACTTTTATCAATCACTTGATATTTGTAGGTGGCAAGAGGTAATTGCTTCCTCCACCTGACATCGGGACCAGAGACAGGTGTGTCATGTGTTCTACAGGCCATGAAAAAGTTTACAGGAGGCCTGGGTGATGATGACGACAGAGAGAGTGGAGACACTTTTGTATGGCAGAAGTATTTCACAAAGGTTAGTAGAAAATGATGAACACAAAATACTTCTATTTCTGAAACACATACATTTTTTCATTTGTATAGGAATATTAGTAATGAAAACAGAGAGGAAGATCTACCGTAAAGTCATTGAGATTTGTGGGGGATTTTTGTTGTTGTTGATTTTATGGGTCAACTGAACCTAGAAATTCATATACCGATGAATTGTTGAAATTAGTATAAGTACATATTTTTATTTATAGTTTACCATGAAATCAAGTGTCTTAGAAAAAGTTAAAAACCACATAAATTGAGTCCCACAAAAATGTGATCCTGCAGTAGTATGTACACAACATTCTTATTTATCTACTTTTGTTTAGTGAATATAAATTTTTCTTTACAAACAATGAATACTGTGTCTTTTGTTTAACAATATTGGATATTATGATATAGAGAATACATGGTCAGTGTCTTACAATGTAAGCTGTGTTTTGGCGAGGGTTAAGAAAGTGGCTCACCACTTTTGCCTTTCTGTATTCTATCTATCCAGCAACATTGATTGAAAAGCAGACTATTGAAACTTAAACAGTTTGTGTTTACCTGACATTGATGTTACGCTGAATTGTGCCTGATTACGGACATAAAAATAATTGCTCCGCGTGGAAACATAGTTCCAAACTTCATTGGATATTACAGCGATTTATGTTTATTCATCAATAAACTTGTTCATTACAACATGTAAAATCACTTATTTCGACTACTGTTAATATTTCTAATCGTAACATTTAAGTAAATTTAGAGAGTAATTCTATCAAATTACCACATATGCTAAAATACAGCTGTTTTCTGTCAATGCCAATCTTTTAAGATCAAATAACAAAATAATTTTTCCTTTTTTCTGATTATTGTTCAATATTTTGTTACATTAGTCCCTAGATGATGCATCTGTTGTCATAGCAACAAGGAAAGCCAATGGAGAGGCAGCCCATTTGAGCTGTTGTATGATTGGTGGAGAGTATGTGTTGTGCGGGGGCTCCAAAAATGTTCACATGCTTTTCAGGAGAAAAGGTAAGAAAAAAAAGTAAATGAAATAAAATTGTTTTACAGTAATTTTGTTCTGTATGTAATAGAAAACCATATTCTGATTTCATTTAATGGAAAATTTAAAGTTATGTTTCACAGAAATTTGAAAAATTTTATTTAATTTAAATCTGAAATTTCTCAATACATTTTCAATAGATAAGATTTTGTTTACAAGTGAATATTTTTTCTGTTGTTATCAGCAACTCATATATATGACAAACAAATTAAATAGCTGTTATACATATCATTAGATACAACAAAGGTTTTACATATTACTTCTATACTTAATCTTCTATAAGAGGATATCAGAAGATATGGAGAGCCTCGCTTCCGTATTGCCAGAGAGGTGTGTTCGACGATCATGGACTCCATAGATAAAATGAATCCCCAGGAGAAGGAGAGGTAAAACATTAGTTCAACATGTCTTATATCTTTTTTTATGTTGAAGTTTATAAATTTAATATTTTGTAAATTGACGTAAAAATTTTTGAATTTTGATGTTTAATGCTGAAACTTATGTAACACTTTAAACATTACTTTACATATAGATTTGTATTCTCTATAGGCTGTTGAAATTCCTGGTGACAAGTAAGTTCACTGGAGTGTTTGAGATCCTCGCACCTGACCACCAACATGTTGAAGATCTTTCTCATCTGTCTGGGTAAGCAGTGAACTTGGTGCAGAGGAATGGTCGAAGGGAGATAATTTGAAAAAAATTTGGCAGTGAAAATTCTTCCTATATCCTATTTCTGAACCTTCTCTCTATATTGATTAAAAATCAATAATTTGAACATTTGAAGTTTTTGTTACCTTCAAAATGAATAATTACAAGGATAGGATCACAAAGGTGATTATTTTACATACTTAAGTAGCAGAAATTGCCACATATTATAAATCACAGGGACTTGGCACTAATTACAGACCCCATGGTCCATATATATATGTATATATGGTTGGGAATTCACGCCAAGTCCCTGTGCAGTAAACCTTGATATATTTTAGGGTTTCTTTTTTCGTTTTACTTGGGAAAGAGGCTTTTTATCTCATTTTAGGAAGAAAATTGATCAAATGGGATGGAAATTTTAAGGAGTGAACTATTTGTTTTGGGAATCATTTCATGCATGTATTATGAAATAAATCTGACGTGGCCAATATTCTGCCATATTCAGTGTGGTAGCCACTAGCTACTTTAAGGAGATGCTTTGGCCTGTTTTTGTTTACTGTGCTTGGTATGTGATTTTTCATAAAAAGATATATTGAATCCAAAATACCAGAAGTGTGAATGATATTGCTACTGTTTCAGTCCAGAGCTACACTTTATCACATGGACACGCTGTGACCTTGACCCCTCAGGAGAAGATGTGGCAGCTGTTCCACCACACATTGGTATAGAGGTAAGGTTACATGCCCACCTATGTTTTTTCCCTATGCATCACTTTTGTAATGTTTGCTTTAGTTGTACACTGGTCTTCTGGTCTATCTGTAAACCTCTCAACAATTTAGAAATATCATAATGCTGTTGAACATTGTTAATTTGAACTCAGAAAACCTGTTTGACTTAGAGTACTTTGTCTGTCCTGGCAAAATTCTCTCATTATGTAAGTAATAAAATCTTGGAAATTCTTGAATTTCGAAAACTTGATAAACTCTGATAATTCAAAGTAAAAATCATAATAATACTCTCTAACCGAAGTTAAAAATTTAAGTCATAAATAGCACAGGCTGTCCAGCGTCCCTAAAATTCCTAAAAATTCCCAATTATTTTCAATTTTGCTAAAATTCCTAAAAAAAAATGAAAAATTTAAAGGGAATTCCTAAAAAAAGCCCTAATTTTTCACTTCAGTTCCTACTTTTTTATATTTCTTACAATTTACTGAAAATGTTTTCATTAAATTTATACTTAAAATGTATTTTAATGTAGTCTGTAGTTCTAATTCAGGGTAGACCATGAAAGGCAGTTTAACAGTGGATCTATGTACCCAGATTGTTATTGGTTGTGACTGAGTGACAGAGGTGTGATTCTTAAGGTCACAGCCAACAGCAGCTGGGACACTGAAACCCTGGAAGACACCTTTCCTGCTATTAAGGCATTGTATGTTAGTTTCTATTTTGTCAAATTTGCAACGGTAAGTCAGTTTAATGCTTTCATACTCCCTATTCTAGTTACAAAATTCCTTATTTTAGCCCTAAAATTGCCCTAAAATTTTGTAATTTTAGCCCTAATTTTTTGTCAAGAAGTGCTGGACAGCCTGATAGCACTTTGAACTTCTGATGAGGTTTTAAAAGCGACAAACTGTGTCTTGGTACATTGTTATCAAAAGACACTGTATGCTCCAGTAGCACTTTAATTTTTGAAGAAAAACATGTTCGTCTAATATTACTATAAAACAATTTCTGATTTCATAAATTTTGATTAAAAATAAAATGGTTCTTAAGTAAGCCTTTTATTAACACTTAAGCTTATGATAGTGTGATATGGAAATATGGGTAAACATACAGTCATGTGATGTACACTTATAGATTTTAATACTTTTTATAATTTCCAAGGAAAAGCACATAAAAATGACATACATTGTATTTATGTTGTATAGATATTTTCTAGTTCCCTACAACTTATTTGTTTCTAACTTTACAATCTTACCTAAATTGTATTACAGTCATTTGTCATAGGTTTTACCATAGGTCCTGCTGTACTCTGATTCAGCGCCATAATGATACATTTCATTAATGTGTAAAAGTGTCTCTCTTGGGGTTGACAGATTCAGTATTACCAATATTTAGTTTAAAAAATATTTTCATTCAATATTATAAATATTTAGAATGAACAGTGAAGCAAGATGTGGAAACATTCTTTATTTTTTTTCAATGATTAATCTCACATAACAAACGTTCATGTACAATGGATACTGGTTAATAACATGATCCATTTGTGATGGATAATGTGATAATAAACTGATCTTTTATTTGGGAATCGTGAGATGTGAATAATCGGCCATTAGGGTAGCTATGATGTTTACATATGGCATCCAGGAGTGACGAATGGCTGTTGAGTTCTTGTCCTCACTTACCTGTGATTTACCTGTGTTTTTTTAATGATAGTTGTCACAATGAAGCGATATTAAGCATTGTCCACATAGAAATAAATCACAATATCAGATGTTGATTACATGAAATATATAGGGATTAATGAGATGTTTGAAGCGAAATGTGGTATTAACTGGAAAGGGACATACACTTAATGACATTAAGTGGTTTCCAATGAATTTCCTTGTAGAACCACTAAAAGAAAAACTGTATATTTTTTCCACAGATAGCTCAAGCTTTAGGTCTAAAGACAGTTAAATACAACAGAGTAGACATCCCAGATCTGGACAAAAGGATGAAGGAGGTAAAAAAAGTTAGGATCTGTTCAGCTCCTGAATTATTTTGCATACATCTTAATTTTAAGTATACAAGTAATGATATAATGAATACCCCAGGGAAATTTAAAAAAGGTGATTTATACAACAATACAGAATAGTTATATAAGTAATACACAGTATTACAGGGCTGAGAAGTTACCAGTGATTTTTTGTGTCATTTTGTTACAAGAATTTTGAAATTAATTGAAATGTCATTAATTAAATGGGTTAACAGCATTTTACTTTGAAAACAAAACCTGAGCAAAGAAATATATATGCGAACATATTGTTGACCTTGCAGGTCAGACCTCAACTCTCTTATGCATTGGAAACACTTTCTGATAAAAACTGTAATTTTTTCCCCCCAGATACGAGGAGGTTACCAGTTTGAGGGAGAAGTGTTATATTTCCTTGACAATCAGGGGGTAGTCATGGGACTTCTAAAGAAGAAGACAGTATGGTAAGGTTATGTGAGGATTCCTTCAAACATGACCAATAAAGACAGTGAGAAAATTCTCTACCCACACTTATAACACTTTACATATTTATATATGGCATATATTGTTTCCAAAAAGTATATTGGAAACTTTTTAATTAGACGCAATCAAATTTGAGAGTTTAATTATTTTTTGGCAAATTGCATCCACAAGAATTCCTATATCAACAGTATATAGAGACTTCATTTCGTGCTATCATGTAGCGGAATAGTTTCAGCATGGATGTGCTGAATCAAGATCACCGTTTAAACTTGTATGTATGTTTATAGTGTTTATTCTGGTGATTAAAATCATCTTGTTGTTATTGTGACGATACCTAAGTAACTCACTTCGGTATCATTTTTTTGCCTACTGTGACACAAAAAAAAACAAAAAACAAAATGAAATGAGGCCAAACATCTGTGGATCACTATGGAGACCATAGATATAGAGCTGAGTAGTCTTATTCAGCCAGGCTCTTGTAGTCTATACACACTATTAAGTGAATTGAACTGTTATATGCACCTATCAATTTAACGGTGCTGACAAATGAAAACCAAAAGTGACAATTTCATAGTACTACATTTGACCAGATAGTTGGATAATGAATCAATCAAAGATGAACGAGACTGACATCCGGTAGGACTTAAACTGTGATGTAGTGAAATATGCTTTCTGCAATATTTATAAATAATAATTGATCAGGTGAAAAAATAGTTATGAAATTTCTTTCCATTTATTATATGTTTATGAAACTTGTCACAAATTTTTCGTTTTTATCTCATCAAAGGAGAAGTTCTCAGATTTGGTTCATAAATCACATATGAAATGGAAGCTCTGTTGTATTTATCAAGATAAGAAGGCACTAGAGAATTCATAAATTTGGGGTGGACGGATGGTGCACTGGGTAATGTTCTTACCATTAGCCAGGTTTTCAGGATTTCAAATCAATGATATTCCCTGCGTATGCAGGTTTCCTCCCCTAGTAATATCCTTGATATTCTTTAATCTGGGTCAAAAAGGGTGATTTATTGGTATAACTTGTTTGACAGTTGTTGTAAAAAGAATTTAGCAAATTATTTTATAACTACACATATATCTGCTGTATTTAGGGCTGTGACAGGGATATGTTTTAGTTTCATGCTTGTGTGAAAGAAAAAACCTTTTTACAAATTTATCATGAATATGCTAAACACAATCATTCAGCATGCAAACCAACTTAAGATAATGGAATGTGTTTTTGTTTCAGGTACATAATGTGCCGAGCAATCAGGGAAAAGCTACGGGCTGCATGTACCTCACTATCAAAATACAGGGAAAAATTCACCATTAGTAAAGTACTGAGAAAGGTAGCACCACTGTGAAAATGCACAAGTGATTTCATGGCCAGATTTGATTTACAGAAATGGTCTACATTTTATTTTCTGATGTCTTCTTAATAATCGTTTAAAGATATCATTTTTGTTTTGATTGTATTGATTAAATAAATCAAAATAAACAAATTTACTGATGCTAGACTAATTTTATTTATCCACGCTTCATCATAAATTTTCATTATTTAAATGGCATATTTATTGATTGATTGATTGATTGATTGATTGATTGATTGATTGATTGATTGATTTATTTATTTATTTATTTATTTATTTATTTATTTATTTATTTTTTATTTATTTATTTATTTCAGACACAGAACAGAATGCTTGAGATACAGAAATGGCTTACTTTGGATGATGAAGTTGTCATCTTTTGGAATGTAAGTGGAACAACTCACATGCTCTTGTGTTGTTTTAATTTGGATCAAGAAAACATATTTGAGTTACTCTTTGAACAAAACCATTTATCGATCAAATATACTTTTACTTTTTCATACAAAAAAGTTACAGGATTACGACAAATAATGTCTAGCTGTACCTTGTGTGTATTTATATAAATCTAATTAGACTATATAATTCCTTAAACAGAATCTTGGTGCCAAGTTCCTACGTTGGACATTACAGAAATTTGAAGAAGGAACTACGAGTATGGAAGAAGTGGCAGACAAATTCCCTGTACTTTGGTAATTATCTTTATTTGTGTGCACAATGTTTTGATTTAGAATTTTGTTATTTCCGCATTTTATTTTAGATTATTAGGCTATAGAAAGGAAAAAATTGTCGCGGACTTGATAGGGATCCCAAATTAAACATCAGAATCCATTATTAGGCTGTGTGTCATCTCTATATGTGAAAAAATTATCCAAATTTTGTTTGAAAGTACAATTCTAATAGAAAAACCCTACACCAGAGGTGTAACAAAATTTTGTTGATAGTACCCCAACACAAAGGGTATAACAAGATTATTTCTATCATTCTAACCCTTGATGGTCTTTTCTCACCTTTATTTCAATTGTAATAACCCTCTTTGGTCTCTCTTACCTCCGTAACTTTTGTAATAACCCTCTGTCATCTCTCCTACCTCTGTAACTTTTGTAATAACCCTCTGTCATCTCTCCTACCTCTATAACTTTTGTAATAACCCTCTGTCATCTTTCCTATCTTGTAACTTCTGTAATAACCTGCTTTGCTCTCTCATACCTCCATTTCTGTTTTCTATTTGTGGACTATCTTGAAAATCTTGCTTTCTCAACAACAGTGCTAGTTGAAATCAGTCTTATTAGGTCGCTGGGATGGCATCATAAGCAGATAACTGATCCATCGAGACTCTTATTTCCTTCCATAGTAAACCCATTGAACACTTCTATAAGTGATACATTTAAGATGGTATGATGTGTTTTACAATTGTTGTTAAATAACTGGTGAGGTAGGTTTATCTAAAGTACTACTGGTGAGTTAGGTTTATCATAAAGTACTTACTGGTGAGGTAGGTCTATCATAAAGTACATACTGGTGAGTTACATTTATCAGAAAGTACTTAATGGTGAGGTAGGTTTATCAGAAAGTACTTACAGGTGAGGTAGGTTTATCAGAAAGTACTTACTGGTGAGATACGTTTGTCATAAAGTGCTTACTGGTGAGGTATGTTTGTCATAAAGTACTTACTGGTCAGTAAGGATTATCGTAAAGTACTTACTGGTGTGGTATGTTTATCAGAAAGTACTAACTGGTGAGTTACATTTATCATAAAGTACTTACAGGTGAGGTAGGTTTATCAGAAAGTACTTACTGGTGAGGTAGATTTATCATAAAGTACTTACTGGTGAGGTAAGTTTATCATAAAGTACTTACTGGTGAGGTACGTTTATCATAAATTACTTACTGGTGAGGTAGGTTTATCAGAAAGTACTTACAGGTGAGGTACGTTTATCAGAAAGTACTTACTGGTGAGGTAGGTTTATCAGAAAGTACTTATATGTGAGGGACATTTATCATAAAGTACTTACTGGTGAGGTAGGTTTATCAGAAAGTACTTACTTGTGAGGTACATTTATCAGAAAGTACTTACTGGGCAGGTATGTATATCAAAGTTTAAGAGTGGTTATTTGAGGAATTAGTATATGTCTATTGTAAATATCTGAAGATTCATTTGTTGATTTAAGATGAATTAAGTAATGATTGAATTAATTCCAGGAAATCATTTCTGCAAAGTACTCAGGAATGTGACGACTATGCTGCATTGAAAAGGAAAGAAGCAGATGATGTAGATCCTTCTGAAAATCATATGACAAGTGGTAGTTCAAACTGTGGTAGTTCAAATAGTGGCAGTTCAAACTGTGGTAGTTCAAATAGTGGCAGTTCAAAAAGTGACAAACATCCAGCTGAAGTAGGGATGGATGAGTTCCCTAACTCTAATGAACATACTCAAACTATTAGTAATTCAAAAGAAACAAACAGTGAAAAAGACTCAGTTAGAGGAGGGGCAGATAACTCAGCTGGAGAAGGGGCAGATAAATCATTGGGAGGAGAGGCAGATCATTCCGAAGAACAAGATGGAACTTGTCAAATTACTAACAGATTTTCTGTTTTACAAGAGGAGGCACAGTCAGACATCGAAGACAAAATGGCAGCTATGGCACTAAACAATCATGAAAACAGCGGTCATTGATGATTGTTAACTTCTTTAGTTATTTAAACCCCAACGTGTAGTAAGTCTTTCAACAAGTTAATGTTTAAAATGTGTTAAACCATACTCAATAACATGCTCAACTATTTTATATCTATATATTTATATGTAATTGTTGAAAAAATACATATCAAAATTCTTTCCCTGTTTTGCAAGTTTTGGTAATTCTATATAAATGTTGAGAACTTGTATCACAAAATTCTTTATCGTTTTGGCAAGTTTTAGCAACAATGTGAAACCCGAAGAATGTACTTCTCAAGGATATCATGGAACAGATGCTAAGTTTCACTACTGACTAAATTTTCTATGGAAAACTCTGTTAAGTTTCCATATGTTTCGATTCAGAGAATAATTCTGCCATTAAAAGAATTGTTCATCTAAAAATTTGGTTTTTAAGAGATGCTTATTCAAGTATCAGTTATTTTTGTTTAAACTGAAGCAGCCCAATTTATGTAAAAATATTAATTTATTTAAAAATATCTATATATAACTATTAGTCTATCAGTTGATGAGATTGGACAAAAAACACCTTGGCCCATATCTGCAGTGCCTTTATATACACTTATCAGTCATATTTACTATGTATCAGGGCCCATGGCCCTTTAATTACAGAGTTCTTGCTCTTCATCAAATTTGTGTCAGGAGCATATATATTTAAATTATCTTGATTTTCCGAACTGTTTTACATATAAATCTCTAATTGATTTTATTTTTCTTTTATTTAAAGTTTTATTATTGTTTTTTTTTTACAAAATTTATCTATTACTTTTTTTCCACAATACTTACCTTTTATCATGGCAGGGTTTGTTTTGCTGCAATTTAATAATATAACATTAAAAGAAATATTTACATGGCAATTGCTGAATACTCCTTCAGTTATAATTTTTGTCCCTTAAGCAGAAATTCTCCTATTTCTGGAAGTTTTAAGAGAAGAGATTTTGTAAAATTTGAAGCATACTGTAGTCTTTAGCTTTCCCTGTTGTCTTTGATACTGTATATTTTGTATAAAATATCAATATTTATCAATTGTTGAATACAATTTTATTGTTCTCTTTGTGAAATTATTTGAATAAATAGTAACACAACATTACCTAGCTTGCATCATTTTGAGTTAAGTCTTACACCATTTTATAAGCTGACTGTACCTCCGTTGTGAAACCTTGATTTAAATTTGTAGTGCCAAAAATAAATTGCCAATGTATATCTTTCCTCATGATAATAATTTGTTGAAAAGTTAGAAAGTGAATAACAGTAATTTATTACCAAACTGGAAATATTTGTTTTATGTCACTGAACTGGCAAGTCAGTCATCCTAGTACAGCACGACAATTGGTCCAAGCTATTTTACTTGTCAGCAATCCTACTAGTGCTCTTCTTTCGTTGTGTATGTGTCAATATCATCTTGTCTTACAAGTTTTGATTTTGCAAACAGCTGCTATTTGTTTGCCAATGACACGATTATGTATCTACAATTTTCATGTCTATATCCCATCAATGGCAGTTAGACATTCCAAGAATACCAACTTCAATTAAAATTCATATTTTTTATATAATGTCGTTTGTGATGTAAAATAACTGACTTCAGTATCCTCGTGTATTTGAAAACTACATGTAAATGTATAAAATGAGGTATTTTTATGGTTTTTCAAAAAGTGCTCTTTTGTGTTGACACAATTCTATCAGTGTGTGGATTTATGTATTTATAGATTTAGAGAACCAACATATTGAATGAAATTGAACTCCACTGAAAATTTATGATTTCACAATAAAAAAGATACATATAGTATTGAAGAGGTTATTTATTTATTTTTTTTTTACAAGAACAGTTTTTTGTATAGAAAACTCATCAAAACCAATTAAGTGTACAATGTCAGATTTATTTCAATGAAGAAAATTATCAACAGAAATATATATATGATACAATCGTAAGAATGATGGTGTAGCTTGTGACAAGCTGTACATTGTCTGGGCCCAAGAAACCATGTGGAAACAGCTAATAATCTCGAACCCAAACCTTTAGTTATATGATTACTTTGGAAATTGTATTGAACATACTGTCTAACTTAAGGCATTAACAATGACTTCTGATGTACCTTTTCTGTCTGATAACAGAGTTGATTCTAAATTAGGTGTATGTTTTATTGTTTCCAACTAAGGTTTAACTATTCAAACTGAAACAATATAATACTTCTCATAGAATTTCTCTCTCCCTCTCTCTTCTGAGAAAACAACAAAACATCCAACAACCATTTGTAGGACTGCTACACATTAGGAGTGATATTTCACCTGAAATATTACAAGCAGACTCAAGTCTGTAATATCTGGCTGTTATGTATGTGTAGCCTCACCGTGTCTCTCATCATGATCAACGAGCACTTTTCATGATGAAATAGCACTATCACCTTTTGGACTAAAATTTACTTCTTTCACTTTCCACTTTTACTCTTGGTGTCCTTCTTATCTTCTGTTTTGCTCTTATCGGAGTCTTTCTTATCAGAGTCCTTCTCTTTTTCCTCCTTTTTCTTCTCCTTACTTAAGTCCTTTACCTCGCTTTTCTCTGCTTCACGATTCTGTAATTTGTTACCTATTAGATTATGTAAGGCTATCACTGACCTTATAAGGGATGCCAGATACACGACCAACATCTGATCATTGGTTTTCACGTACACAGATTTAACAAAGTCTTGAAGATTGATGTCTGGGAGTAGGTTGAACACGTCCTGAAGTTGGTATATGATCTGGTGGTTTACAGGTAACTGTTGTGATGAGACTTTCTGTAGGTAACTGTTTATGTCGGTGATATGGGAATGTAAACCCTTCAGACCCATCAGCTGATTAGTAATCCTCTGTGACAGTGAACCTACAGTTGTGTCTTTTATATCCCTGTAATATACAATTTATGACAATCAGCATTGTGTAATGACATTTTTTGTTATTGTTTATTTTCCCCTCATTGTCTTAGGAATGTCGTCTATTCTCTTCCTTGAATGTGGAAAATTGAATGGTCAAGGTCATACTCCATAGTAACTAATGGTAACAATGAATGGAAGGGTGAAATTTCTATTCATGTAGGAAATCAAGGAGGGGTGAAATTTCTATTCAGGTAAGAAATCAAGGACTCAGATATGGAGAAAACACTGCTATTTCGTAGATCAAAACTACATTATCAAGCAATATAATCCTTCGAATATGTATGATGAAGTTAATGAAACAAATAGATAAAACAACAATATTAGCTGATAGGAGTGAATGCTGGCGGGAATGTTATCTAATGTGAGCCAGTCGACAAGTATCTTGCCTGAGTAAGTGTTCCACTCCAACCTCCTCTGCTTCCTCAGCTCCAATCTCACTTGGCACATGATCAAATGTCTTGGATGTTGGTGTACCATCCTACAATGTTAGAATTTATAATACTTGATATAAAAGTCAATATAAAAGTCAATACAAAAGCTGATGGAGAACAACCCAACTTCACAAGGTTTTTGGCATTCTGCATGCATTCTTAGAGTAGGAAGTGTTGGACGACCTTTTTCTAGATTGTACTGTGTAGATGAATTATACTTTTACTACTGTCTACTTTGTGGAGTATGTGTTCCCAAAGGTTAAGCAGTTAATGCATGTTTAAATTTCCACTAAAAATCTACTTACATACAAGATATCTAAATATCTTACACTCTATGACCTCTGACAGCACTGGCCATTTTTTCCTTGGGGTCATTCATAAAAGGTAAAACCATTGTTTACAAAACCAACTAAGAAATGCTAAATTTTGTACTAGAATAACTCTTACATCATGAACTTCTTCTACTGATATGTAGGCCTCTGTTGGAAGACCGAGATCTTTTGGCTTGGCATCGATGACGACAAGAACAGAATTTGGGCAGTATCTCCTGATCAACTCGTTGATGGCTACATCATTTTGGTGAAGTTTTGGGCCAGTGTGGTACCATCCAACAACCTTCTCTCGTGCTGAAATTATATAACAGCTAATTAAGATATACAGGTAGATATAAAATATGGTGGACAACCAGTATTCACCTGAACTTGACATCAGTTTCTGTACACATTTGTATATCTTATTATCATGACTTTATTATTGTTTGATAAAAGTTTACATGAAATAACTGACCTAACACTAAATTCCGTAAATTTTGTAGGATTTTTCCAGGTGAGTCCAGAACAACAATTCCAAAATGTTGATGAGTAGCAATACTAAGATATAGGGGTTATTCAAAATTTGAGCGAGTCTCGCAGGAAAAGCAGGAGTACAGGACTCAAAATGCAAGTCCAAAAAGTCAGTGTTAATGTCTATGATTAATCCTGATAAAAAACTGAAACTTTATTTTGCTATTAATTAAATCTTAATATGATTATGGATGCTATTTCGGTAAAGAAATAAAAACAATAACATATTGGTCGGTGAAATAGCACTGTATTATTATTTGCGTTGGCCATTTCAAATGTAGAGTTTTTCTTTCTTTTGGCAAGTCTTTGCTATCACTTCTAAAAAAACAAATTCAAATAAGATATTGATCTTACCATTGACTTTCTTGAACATGCCATACATGCTCTCCAAGTAGTCGTGATCCAGGAACCACACATTTTTGTCCTTGTCATCTTCATCAAATGGCACTGTAAATACAATCAAATTAATTAAATGCAAATATGAATATAAACAATGGTGAAAATCTAAATTCCAGAATAAAATTTTAACAGCAAAACAACTGCATAACAAGTTAGATATCATGAAATAAGGTTCTTTATTGAGCAACATTTAATTTTTTTTCAAAGAATGGATGCTCCCTCTGAAAGTTGAGACTGTCTGGATTTTGAGATTTCTTTTTGTTGTATTTCACAACTAATCAGGGTTATTCATTATTATTTACATCTTTTGTTTGAGCAGGTTTTGTGTTTTTTAAGAATTTCAATGATGTTTTGCCTTTGGAAATCTTAACTTTTTAGGAAGCTTAAAAAACCATGATGTATATGAAAAAGATGCAAACAGGAGTTGGATATAATAACCAGAACTTTCCATGAATTCTGATACTTTATATCATTCTTATGTCAGTGTTGGTCTGTTTGAGGATATTTTCTGCAGTTATGATAAAATCAAAACAGAAATCTGAGAACGACATGAAAGCCCCTGCATTCCCCTCACATACCGACATGTATCACGGAAGTTTACACAGGCATATATTACAAACATTGGCCAATAAATAATGGCAGAAGGGAATCCCAAAGGCAGAACACTCAAAAAAATGTTGTAGAAGCTTAGGGATGTGACTCCATCTAAATTAAAATTTGGCCAGGATTCACACTTGTAACCCTTTATTATGAATTCACATACAAAATTGATAAAAATGTGGTAAAGTGTATCTATTTCTTTGCAGGGGCATTAGAAAAACGAAAACAAAAGACTTTATACCCGTCACTCATAGGTTCAAAACTAAGAACTTAAGATAGAAATCCGCTGCTTTTGTCCAAGGTAGTCCATATGTTTTTTATTATCTATCCGCGATTTTATTTTCGTCGTGATCAAGGTAATAAAATCGCGGAATAATGTCAAAACCCATCGGACTTCTGTCTAAGGATGAATGACTTGCAAAACTAGACTTCAAGTCTACAGTAATGAATATAACTTTCTCTCAAAATACATCTACAGAAAAGCAAAATGTGTTGCTTGTAAAGCTGAATAAATAAAGTGCGAAAACAATTAGATACCTGCAAAACTATTTGAAACGTCAAGAACTCCTTGTCTGTTCGAACCAAGAAGAACACCAACGACTCGTTTTACATTTCCAACTTTGCCCATCCGATTAAAGTGGTCTACTACGCTTAGCAGGACCAGCGGATGGACAACCACCTTTGATATCTTTGCTGGATCTGTAGGCGGCATTGTGGTGGCTACAGTTGCCTTCTTCATGTGTAACCGGTCAGTTTGGCTTCGCTGTTGATGACTCTTCAACTTTCCGACAATGGCGTGAGGCGTGCTTCCGGTGTTTCCCCGGATGTAGGAAATATTAATGCATTTTCTGTCGGTTCAAATATAGTTATCGTTGTGACTCATTGCAATATTATTATCTTTTGTATAAATGAGTAAGTTCCTCCTCATAATTTCAGCAATAGATGAAGCTTTCAATCAGTCAATGAGATAGGAGACAATAACATGCCGCGTGTCCTATTTTTTTCAGGTACTAGACAGGAAATGGCGGAAGCCAGTTTACTTATTGTTGACAGCTGCTAAGCAATCCGGGATGCAGACGAATTTTGCTTTAGATGCTTTCTAAACAACATCTTGCGTTATTTTAACTCAGGAACTATGAGTAATGGCACAAATAGCGACGGTCGTGAACGAATTCCAAGAGAAAAGTTACACGAACAAAATGAACAGTTGACACAAAAACAAGTACAAACTTTACAATTTGTTCAGGAGATAGCACGTGAAAATAAGGCACTGAAGGCCACAATCGCTGAATATGAGGTATTTGATCTGTGATGAGAGGGCAAGTCGTTTCGGTACCAGGATGTTTCGGTACTTCCAAAATAAGTCGTTTCGGTACTTTTAAAAATGTGTGGAGTTATGTATTTAATTCTGTTTTAAAGGCGTATTGTCATTAATAGATTTGGTTCATTCCGTTACTGAAAACATGTCCACTCAAAATGCTACCCTAGCTGTGTTAACCAATTTGCAAGTACCGAAACGACTTTAATATGTACGGAAACAACTGGGTGCCAAAACAACTTGGTACCAAAATGACTAGAATTCTGTGATAAATATTTATGACATGTATGAATGTAAGATTGACACATAAAAAATGTAAGTGCCAGTCCTCGTTCTCTGAATGTCTTATGTTCATACATACCTACAGACAGATACTGGAAGGATGAACATTCATTACCCTGCTTCTACAGACAATTTCAAGTTGCCTATAAAGGACCAGTAGGTCCTGCATGCAGAAACAACCTAAGGTTGAAGTCTCAGTGGCAGAGCGAAAAAAAAGTTAATTCTGATGGTCAGTAAATATATATGAATGGGCTTATTACCAGACACAGAAAACATCAGAAATTATTACCCTAAGAGTTTTGCTACTTCAACTTATTAAAGGCCAGGTCAGTTTACCTCTAAGGACGTAGTTAATTGGGCAGAACAATATTATAATGTTAACAAACATAATATTTAAGTTTCCAATGCTGTAACCTTGCATGACAACTTACAGATAATCTTATTCTGCTATCTGTGACATTCCTTGTGTGTAGCATGTCACTGGTATCTTTCTGCTGTGAAGCCTCTATCAATGTCATCAGGTGGTATCCAGCCCTCTTCAGATGTTTCGACCCTAAACCACAACATCCTCCAGCTGGTGGGTCAGCAGTGGCGGCCAAACCTCTGCTCGTCTACATTGTGTCTGCAGCATCCTCCATAAGGATTGGGCTGGGAACATTCTTCAGCCCACCTCCACAGGAAATAGCCACACAGTACATCCCCTCTCTCTGCACTTCGCCATTAGCTCATCATACTCTGTTTTCTTCCTTTCATGGGCCCCCTCACAACCTTCTTCCCATGGTACTGTTAGCTCTATTGAGATGAGGATATTGGACTGCTGCGATAACATCACGATGTCAGGCCTCAGAGTTGTCTGCCTCTGAACGATATGTAAATGTATATCATCATTTGTTTGTTTGATTTATTGCCCTGTGAACAGCCAGGATCATTTTGACTCAAAGGCCTCCATGTCTGGAGTCTCCATGTATTTGGTTGGTTGATGTGTCTGGATATTGTCTCGTGGACACTCTGTGTAGTTACAGGTGGTTACCTCAAAGAACTTAGAAGCTGAGATAACATAACAAGTAGAAAATTAATTGTTCTGCAATAAGGAATGCCTGTTGTATGTCTTCAGAGCAATAAGGATAGAGTCATAATTATGTTGAAGGACACAACCTCCACAGCACTGACCAGTCCATTTCACAGCTTCCTGAGTAACTCAAACCACCATTGCAAGAGAGTTTCAAACCATGCACCTTGGATCTTCACCTCAGATTGTAACAGCCAATGGTCTACCGAATGAGCTATCATGGCCCTATATGATATATCAACAGGCAAAAATATTGATATATTGATATATACATAAAGCAATGTTTGGTTGTTTTTTATACTCTTGGCTCTTCTCTATCTGCACCGAAGTTAAAAAGGAAAATATGACACAAAGCTTATTGTATTTGAGCATTACTTTTATAATGAAGGCTAAGAACTTTCCTGATAAAGAAAAATATGGTAAAGTAGAAGAGGTGTAGCTGTGTTCTTGTTATGGGTAAAAAAAATGAGTGCAACATTTTTTTGTGCTGCCTATTGCTTACCATATAGTAATTAATAGATTTTATGATAAATGGTTGTTAGATCCAAAGAACAGACAAGCTTATGCCATAGCATAGCATCTGTCATTTGCCCATTGCCTGTCAACTATAAAAAAATATTGCTACTTTAGTCATGAATACCTGAGCAAATTTGAACCAAATTTGATATAGAGCAACCTTTGCAGAATAGGGCTCAATTTATACAGTGCGCCTGGGATCCCTGTCCCATTCCCCCTACCCTCAAGGTCCTGAGGAGCGAGGCAGAACAAGGGAGAAATCCTTCTTCATAAGTAGGAATGAGAGGATTTCGCCCAGGTCAGGTCTCAAGCATCCATGGACCTCTAATCCAACTCGGTTATTTTATAACTAGAAGCTCTGACTGAATGGGGCAGAGTTGTGTGGCCCATGATAGGGAAACAGAGATGAACCTGTAAGATACTTCTTCTGTTGGGATGAAGGGATTTTAACCAGATTTGATGTAGCACATCCTTGGGTATGGTGATTCAGTTTTGTATAAACGTTGGGTCTGAACCCCCATAGGCACAATGGAAAGGGTTAAATTGGGGTATAATGGTAAATCTTTAAAATCCTTTAACTTTTGAAGGGATGGAGATATTTTGACCAAAGTGGGTCAGAAGCATCCATTGGTAATATTGAAGTAGTTTTGTTCAGTTGGTGTGTCTGTATCCTCCATGATCAGAGGGGGTGGAGCCAATGGGAGAGATCTAGGGAAATATTGGAAATCTTTAATTCTGTTTGGATTGAGGGACTTTGACAGTTTAAATGGTTTAAAGCATTTTTAGGTAAGAAGAACTTAAGTTTTATATAAGTGTATGTTCTCTCTCTCCCTCCTTTCCCACCTCCAAAATTTCTTGAATATTTTGGAAGGAATTAAGGGATTTTAACAAAATTTTACCTGAAGCATGATTGGATAGAGAGAACTCAATGTTTTATAAACAGCAGATTTGTAAATCTTTATATCTAGTTTAGATAAAGCAATTTCAGCCAAACCAAAACAGGTGAGCAATAGAAACCCTATGGGCCCTCTTGTAGATGTAACAACAAGTCTGTGTGCATCTTTTATCATTTCACTTAATGCTGATCAGGTTTTATCACAATTGTTATATTGTCTTCATGGGTTCATTTGCTCAACCACATAGTTTTATTTTATGCTCCTGTTTCCATAGTTACGAAGCATTGAGTATTCTTACATCCTGACTGAGTGGTCTTTTTTTTTTTACACCACTTTTGTTATTGATTGTTGCATCTTAAAATATTTAGAAGGCAGTAAAAAAAGTTGTATTGTGAAAAGTTGTGTATTGTTTTCTTGAAAATGCTTCCTGATGAAAAGAGTTTCATTCATAACATGTTGTCAGAATATTTAAATGGATGTGATTGTTTCTGAGGCCTGCTTCATAATTTTCCACTTCGTGGTTTATTGATGTGAAAGATCTATTCAAAAACAGGCGATGATGTAGGAAATGTTCTGTAATAATGATGGTTTGGAAATCAGTGAACATTGATATATACTTTGGAGGTAAAATAAATAAGACAGTTTCATTTGGATGTTTTTTTGACTGAAGGGAAAAATGTCAGTAATATAAAAGTTTTAGTGTAAGAGTAAAGTGTGATGGTGCGATGACACTGTCGCCATTGTTAGACAAATGACTAACATGGAGCATATTTACACTGATATATGAAAAGTACATTTCTGAGGCAGAAAATAGTGTGACAAGATGGTAAACAGATTATATAAATATTACACACTAGATTGTAATAATGCAGAATATTGTTTTCAACTTTCGTGATACAGTCACTATTGGTTGTTGTGTCCCAAGCAGATGCAATAGTGATACAATAAAGGAATGAAAGACATTTTGTTTAATATTGACAACATTGTTATAAAGACTTAGAACCTTATGAGTACCGGAAGTTAAATTTGTTCTGAAGTATAAATATTTCTCTTTTAGAAGTTAATTAAGACCATCAAACTTATGTGACATTTACACTACCCATTAACCTTTCAGAAAGAGAAGGAGAAATGTAAGGAGATTCATGCCATCGCTGAAGAGAGTCAGAAACGACTGAAGCAGATGCAGGAACAACTTCAGCAGAGAGGAGATGAAATTAATGCGATGTTACTGGAGAAACACAAGGAAGAGGTAAGTCACATATCAGTATATTGTGGAGTCATTATGTCACAGTCTGTAAATTGTTGATTCATTCAACTTAGGTGAAGATCTGAGGTGTATGGTTCGATACTCTCTTCCCATGGCAGTTTGTGTTTTTCTTGAAGCTGAGAAACAGACTATCTATGTTGTATCCTTGGGCAAGACATGTTACTCCAAATGCTCTGGATGAGTTGTGATTGTCCTCCTGTATGTTGTTCAGTGTGGTAGTCACCAGCTACAACAGGTACAAGGAGCACTGCCTTAAAATGACCATGGCTGTAGATTAGGCAATACACTCATCAAAAAAAGATGCAAACAATAGTGTATTGTCAGACTTACTTATATACATGTACATTGATTTTGTAAAATTTCAAATGGAACATTGAAAATGAATGAAAAGTTTCTCAAAGTTAACACTTTAATGAAATTTAATTTTGGTGAAATGAAATTTAGCATATCATCACTTTTTGGCAATTTAGTGCTTCCATGATAATTGTTTTCATAAACAACTTAAAGAAACTGCAATAAGCATGATAATGAAAAATATTTTCAGCAAGATAGGTAGTGAACGAAGAGTATCCCTAAAGTACATTAACAGTATTACATGTACCAGAATGCAGTTTGGTGCAATTTTATAAGGAGGGAAGAACAAATTTAAATGAGGATGAATAGTGGCAGAGGATAGTAACACTATATCAGGGTACTATATTACTAGTGACAGAGGATAGTAACACAATATCAGGGTACTATATTAAAAGTGACAGGATAGTAACACTATATCAGGGTACTATATTACTAGTGACAGAGGATAGTAACACTATATCAGGGTACTATATTAAAAGTGACAGGATAGTAACACTATATCAGGGTACTATATTACTAGTGACAGAGGATAGTAACACTATATCAGGGTACTATATTACTAGTGACAGAGGATAGTAACACTATATCAGGGTACTGTGTTACAAGTGACAGGTGATAGTAACACTATATCAGGGTACTATATTACTAGTGACAGAGAATAGTAACACTATATCATGGTACTGTATTACTAGTGACAGAGGATAGTAACACTATATCAGGGTACTATATTACTAGTGACAGGATAGTAACACTATATCAGGGTACTGTATTACTAGTGACAGAGGATAGTAACACTATATCAAGGTACTTTATTACTAGTGACAGAGGATAGTAACACTATATCAGGGTACTGTATTACTAGTAACAGAGGATAGTAACATTATATCAGGGTAGTGTATTAATATTGACAGAGGATAGTAACACTATATCAGGGTACTATATTACTAGTGATAGAGGATAGTAACACTATATCAGGGTACTATATTAAAAGTGACAGGATAGTAACACTATATCAGGGTACTATATTACTAGTGACAGAGGATAGTAACACTATATCAGGGTACTGTATTACTAGTGACAGAGGATAGTAACACTATATCAGGGTACTATATTACTAGTGACAGAGAATAGTAACACTATATCAGGGTACTGTATTACTAGTGACAGAGGATAGTAACACTATATCAGGGTACTATATTACTAGTGACAGAGGATAGTAACACTATATCAGGGTACTGTATTACTAGTGACAGAGGATAGTAACACTATATCAGGGTACTGTATTACTAGTGACAGAGGATAGTAACACTATATCAGGGTACTATATTACTAGTGACAGAGGATAGTAACACTATATCAGGGTACTATATTAAAAGTGACAGGATAGTAACACTATATCAGGGTACTATATTACTAGCGACAGAAGATAGTAACACTATATCAGTGTACTATATTACTAGTGACAGAGGATAGTAACACTATATCAGGGTACTGTATTACTAGTAACAGAGGATAGTAACATTATATCAGGGTACTGTATTACTAGTGACAGAGAATAGTAACACTATATCAGGGTACTGTATTACTAGTGACAGAGGATAGTAACACTATATCAGGGTACTATATTACTAGTGACAGAGGATAGTAACACAATATCAGGGTACTATATTAAAAGTGACAGGATAGTAACACTATATCAGGGTACTATATTACTAGTGACAGAAGATAGTAACTGTATTACTAGTGACAGAGGATAGTAATATAGGGTACTATCAGGGTATATCAGTGTACTATATTAGTGACAGAGGATAGTAACACTATATCAGGGTATTGTATTACTAGTAACAGAGGATAGTAACACTATATCATGGTACTATATTACTATTGACAGAGAATAGTAACACTCTATCAGGGTACTGTATTACTATTGACAGAGGATAGTAACACTATATCAGGGTACTGTATTACTAGTGACAGAGGATAGTAACACTATATCGGAGTAATGTTTTACAAGTGACAGAGGATAATATATGTACCATATATTGTCTACAGATTCCAGCGGAGACAGACCCTGAGGTAGGATTGACCTGTTTTCCCTATATATGATTTTTTTGTCCATAATAGAGTGACGTGATGTTATATTGTACTGTTACATGTATATAACAGATCCAGTTTGTCTATAATTAGGAGTGACGTGATGTTATATTGTACTGTTACATGTATATAACAGATCCAGTTTGTCTATAATTAAGGGTGACGTGATGTTATATTGTACTGTTATATAACAGATCCAGTTTGTCTATAATTAAGGGTGACGTGATGTTATATTGCACTGTTATATAACAGATCCAGTTTGTCTATAATTAAGGGTGACGTGATGTTATATTGTACTGTTACATGTATATAACAGATCCAGTTTGTCTATAATTAAGAGTGACGTGATGTTATATTGTACTGTTACATGTATATAACAGATCCAGTTTGTCTATAATTAAGGGTGACGTGATGTTATATTGTACTGTTACATGTATATAACAGATCCAGTTTGTCTATAATTAAGAGTGACGTGATGTTATATTGTACTGTTATATAACAGATCCAGTTTGTCTATAATTAAGGGTGACGTGATGTTATATTGTACTGTTATATAACAGATCCAGTTTGTCTATAATTAAGAGTGACGTGATGTTATATTGTACTATTATATAACAGATCCAGTTTGTCTATAATTAAGAGTGACGTGATGTTATATTGTACTGTTACATGTATATAACAGAACCAGTTTGTCTATAATTATGGGTGACATGATGTTATATTGTACTGTTACATGTATATAACAGAACCAGTTTGTCTATAATTAAGAGTGACGTGATGTTATATTGTACTGTTATATAACAGATCCAGTTTGTCTATAATTAAGGGTGACGTGATGTTATATTGTACTGTTACATGTATATAACAGAACCAGTTTGTCTATAATTAAGGGTGACATGATGTTATATTGCACTGTTATATAACAGATCCAGTTTGTCTATAATTAGGAGTGACGTGATGTTATATTGTACTGTTACATGTATATAACAGAACCAGTTTGTCTATAATTAAGGGTGACATGATGTTATATTGCACTGTTATATAACAGATCCAGTTTGTCTATAATTAGGAGTGACGTGATGTTATATTGTACTGTTACATGTATATAACAGAACCAGTTTGTCTATAATTAAGGGTGACATGATGTTATATTGCACTGTTATATAACAGATCCAGTTTGTCTATAATTAGGAGTGACGTGATGTTATATTGTACTGTTACATGTATATAACAGATCCAGTTTGTCTATAATTAAGGGTGACGTGATGTTATATTGTACTGTTATATAACAGATGCAGTTTGTCTATAATTAAGAGTGATGTGATGTTATATTGTACTGTTATATAACAGAACCAGTTTGTCTTTAATTAAGAGTGACGTGATGTTATATTGTACTGTTACATGTATATAACAGAACCAGTTTGTCTATAATTAAGAGTGACGTGATGTTATATTGTACTGTTATATAACAGATCCAGTTTGTCTATAATTAAGAGTGACGTGATGTTATATTGTACTGTTACATGTATATAACAGAACCAGTTTGTCTATAATTAAGGGTGACATGATGTTATATTGCACTGTTATATAACAGATCCAGTTTGTCTATAATTAGGAGTGACGTGATGTTATATTGTACTGTTACATGTATATAACAGATCCAGTTTGTCTATAATTAGGAGTGACGTGATGTTATATTGTACTGTTATATAACAGATCCAGTTTGTCTATAATTAAGGGTGACGTGATGTTATATTGTACTGTTATATAACAGATCCAGTTTGTCTATAATTAAGAGTGACGTGATGTTATATTGTACTGTTACATGTATATAACAGATCCAGTTTGTCTATAATTAAGGGTGACGTGATGTTATATTGTACTGTTACATGTATATAACAGATCCAGTTTGTCTATAATTAAGGGTGACGTGATGTTATATTGTACTGTTATATAACAGAACCAGTTTGTCTATAATTAAGGGTGACGTGATGTTATGTTGTACTGTTATATAACAGAACCAGTTTGTCTATAATTAAGAGTGACGTGATGTTATATTGTACTGTTACATGTATATAACAGATCCAGTTTGTCTATAATTAAGAGTGACGTGATGTTATATTGTACTGTTATATAACAGATCCAGTTTGTCTATAATTAAGGGTGACGTGATGTTATATTGTACTGTTACATGTATATAACAGAACCAGTTTGTCTATAATTAAGGGTGACGTGATGTTATATTGTACTGTTATATAACAGATCCAGTTTGTCTATAATTAAGAGTGACGTGATGTTATATTGTACTGTTATATAACAGAACCAGTTTGTCTATAATTAAGGGTGACGTGATGTTATATTGTACTGTTATATAACAGATCCAGTTTGTCTATAATTAAGGGTGACGTGATGTTATATTGTACTGTTATATAACAGAACCAGTTTGTCTATAATTAAGAGTGACGTGATGTTATATTGTACTGTTACATGTATATAACAGAACCAGTTTGTCTATAATTAAGAGTGACGTGATGTTATATTGTACTGTTATATAACAGATCCAGTTTGTCTATAATTAAGGGTGACGTGATGTTATATTGTACTGTTACATGTATATAACAGATCCAGTTTGTCTATAATTAAGGGTGACGTGATGTTATATTGTACTGTTATATAACAGATCCAGTTTGTCTATAATTAAGAGTGACGTGATGTTATATTGTACTGTTATATAACAGAACCAGTTTGTCTATAATTAAGAGTGACGTGATGTTATATTGTACTGTTATATAACAGAACCAGTTTGTCTATAATTAAGAGTGACGTGATGTTATATTGTACTGTTATATAACAGAACCAGTTTGTCTATAATTAAGAGTGACGTGATGTTATATTGTACTGTTATATAACAGAACCAGTTTGTCTATAATTAAGAGTGACATGATGTTATATTGTACTGTTATATAACAGAACCAGTTTATCTATAATTAAGGGTGACATGATGTTATATTGTACTGTTATATAACAGATCCAGTTTGTCTATAATTAAGAGTGATGTGATGTTATATTGTACTGTTATATAACAGAACCAGTTTGTCTATAATTAAGGGTGACGTGATGTTATGTTGTACTGTTATATAACAGAACCAGTTTGTCTATAATTAAGAATGACGTGATGTTATATTGTACTGTTACATGTATATAACAGAACCAGTTTGTCTATAATTAAGGGTGACATGATGTTATATTGCACTGTTATATAACAGATCCAGTTTGTCTATAATTAGGAGTGACGTGATGTTATGTTGTACTGTTACATGTATATAACAGATCCAGTTTGTCTATAATTAGGAGTGACGTGATGTTATATTGTACTGTTATATAACAGATCCAGTTTGTCTATAATTAAGAGTGACGTGATGTTATATTGTACTGTTATATAACAGATCCAGTTTGTCTATAATTAAGAGTGACGTGATGTTATATTGTACTGTTACATGTATATAACAGATCCAGTTTGTCTATAATTAAGGGTGACGTGATGTTATATTGTACTGTTACATGTATATAACAGATCCAGTTTGTCTATAATTAAGGGTGAAGTGATGTTATATTGCACTGTTATATAACAGATCCAGTTTGTCTATAATTAAGGGTGACGTGATGTTATATTGTACTGTTATATAACAGATCCAGTTTGTCTATAATTAAGAGTGATGTGATGTTATATTGTACTGTTATATAACAGAACCAGTTTGTCTATAATTAAGGGTGACGTGATGTTATGTTGTACTGTTATATAACAGAACCAGTTTGTCTATAATTAAGAGTGACGTGATGTTATATTGTACTGTTATATAACAGAACCAGTTTGTCTATAATTAAGAGTGACGTGATGTTATATTGTACTGTTACATGTATATAACAGAACCAGTTTGTCTATAATTAAGAGTGACGTGATGTTATATTGTACTGTTATATAACAGATCCAGTTTGTCTATAATTAAGGGTGACGTGATGTTATATTGTACTGTTACATGTATATAACAGAACCAGTTTGTCTATAATTAAGGGTGAGGTGATGTTATATTGTACTGTTATATAACAGATCCAGTTTGTCTATAATTAAGAGTGACGTGATGTTATATTGTACTGTTATATAACAGAACCAGTTTGTCTATAATTAAGAGTGACGTGATGTTATATTGTACTGTTATATAACAGAACCAGTTTGTCTATAATTAAGAGTGACGTGATGTTATATTGTACTGTTATATAACAGAACCAGTTTGTCTATAATTAAGAGTGACATGATGTTATATTGTACTGTTATATAACAGAACCAGTTTATCTATAATTAAGGGTGACATGATGTTATATTGTACTGTTATATAACAGATCCAGTTTGTCTATAATTAAGAGTGACGTGATGTTATATTGTATTGTTATATAACAGATCCAGTTTGTCTATAATTAAGGGTGACGTGATGTGATGTTATATATAACAGATACAGTTTGTCTATAATTAAGGGTGACATGTTATATTGTACTGTTATATAACAGATCCAGTTTGTCTATAATTAAGGGTGACGTGATGTTATATTGTACTGTTATATAACAGATCCAGTTTGTCTATAATTAGTGACGTGATGTTATATTGTACTGTTATATAACAGATAGTTTGTCTATAATTAAGGGTGACGTGTTATATTGTACTGTTATATAACAGATCCATTATATATAACAGATCCAGTTTGTCTATAATTAAGGGTGACGTGATGTTATATTGTACTGTTATATAACAGATCCAGTTTGTCTATAATTAAGGGTGAGGTGATGGTATATTGTACTGTTATATAACAGAACCAGTTTGTCTATAATTAAGGGTGACGTGATGTTATATTGTACTGTTATATAACAGATCCAGTTTGTCTATAATTAAGTGATGTGACTGTTATATAACAGATCCATATGATGTTATATTGTATTGTACTGTTATATAACAGATCCAGTTTGTCTATAATTAAAGATGGTGTTATATAACAGAACCAGTTTGTCTATAATTAAGGGTGACGTGATGTTATATTGTACTGTATACTATAATTAAGGGTGACGTGATGTTATATTGTACTGTTATATAACAGATCCAGTTTGTCTATAATTAAGGGTGACGTGATGTTATATTGTACTGTTATATAACAGATGCAGTTTGTCTATAATTAAGGGTGATGTTATATGATGTTATAATTAAGGGTGACGTGATGTTATATTGTATGTATATAACAGATCCAGTTTGTCTATAATTAAGGGTGACGTGATGTTATATTGTTATATACTGTTTGTCTATAATAAGGGTGACGTGATGTTATATTGTACTGTTATATAACAGATCCAGTTTGTCTATAATAACGTGATGTTATATTGTACTGTTATATAACAGAACCAGTTTGTCTATAATTAAGAGTGACGTGATGTTATATTGTACTGTTATATAACAGAACCAGTTTGTCTATAATTAAGAGTGACGTGATGTTATATTGTACTGTTATATAACAGAACCAGTTTGTCTATAATTAAGAGTGACATGATGTTATATTGTACTGTTATATAACAGAACCAGTTTATCTATAATTAAGGGTGACATGATGTTATATTGTACTGTTATATAACAGATCCAGTTTGTCTATAATTAAGAGTGACGTGATGTTATATTGTATTGTTATATAACAGATCCAGTTTGTCTATAATTAAGGGTGAGGTGATGTTATATTGTACTGTTATATAACAGAACCAGTTTGTCTATAATTAAGAGTGATGTGATGTTATATTGTACTGTTATATAACAGAACCAGTTTGTCTATAATTAAGAGTGACGTGATGTTATATTGTACTGTTATATAACAGAACCAGTTTGTCTATAATTAAGGGTGACGTGATGTTATATTGTACTGTTATATAACAGATCCAGTTTGTCTATAATTAAGGGTGACGTGATGTTATATTGTACTGTTATATAACAGATCCAGTTTGTCTATAATTAAGGGTGACGTGATGTTATATTGTACTGTTATATAACAGATCCAGTTTGTCTATAATTAAGGGTGACGTGATGTTATATTGTAATGTTACATGTATATAACAGAACCAGTTTGTCTATAATTAAGGGTGACATGATGTTATATTGTACTGTTATATAACAGATCCAGTTTGTCTATAATTAAGGGTGACGTGATGTTATATTGTACTGTTATATAACAGAACCAGTTTGTCTATAATTAAGGGTGACGTGATGTTATATTGTACTGTTATATAACAGATCCAGTTTGTCTATAATTAAGAGTGACGTGATGTTATATTGTACTGTTATATAACAGAACCAGTTTGTCTATAATTAAGAGTGAGATAAAAATGTTTGAAATATAAATCAGAGTTGAAGTGAACATAATACCTGGATGAGCAACAATAAGTGTTAAACAAATATATAAATAGTTTTAATAAATATAATGATTACAAATCATGAGGGACTAATGGATCATTTTATAGTTTGATGTAGGAAGTTGGCTTATAGATACAATGTTGCTATTACGTATTTAGAGTTATGGTTCATAACAGGTAAGTGACATCTCAGTGTCAGTTATTAAGATGTATGATGATTGTCCCTCATCAGCTATTAATAGATAATTGCAGCTGCAATTTTATTTCATTAGGTGTTGAAGCCCACTAAAAGGGTTAGACTGGTAGACGAATGCTAATATATATATTCTGAAGCTGTTGTGATTGTTTACCTTGTACTGAATTTGAGAATTGTATACAGAAGAGTCAAATGATTAATTAAACTTTCCAACGTCAACTAAATTTATTCATTGCAGTGTTTAATTTTTTTCATCCTGTATTTTTATTTGTTAGCTCCTATCTGTGTACCAGACTTTTTTTTTTTTACATGTGCTATTAATCATGAATGACTTAGCAATGTCTGACCAAATTTAGTCAGAAGAATCCTTAGGGAAAGGGGTACCAACTTTGTATAAATTGTATGTCATTGACACCAGAAGCCTGGGGGTGGTGCCTAAAGTGGGGGGTTATTTTGTACATTTTTTGAAATTCTTTTTATCTTAGGAATTAAAGTATCCTTGGATAAATAGAGATTCAATTTTGTACAATAGTGGGTCTTTGCTCCTTGGGTCAGAGTATAAACAGTAGGACTCAGACCCCTGGGGTGGGTAAGGTAGGCTTGATAGGGGAAATTGTTTAAAATTCTTTGTCTTTATTAGGAGTGTTAGGACTTTGCCCCCTGGAGAAAGAGAGGGGGGACCCAAAGAGGGAATTGTAGCAAAGTCTTTGAAGTCTTTCTTATTCTTTAGAAATGCTAAGATTCTGTTTCAGTTTGGTCTGAAGCATCTTTCGGTGAAGCTAAATGAATTTGTGTAAATGATGGATCTTGGTCCCTTGAAATAGGAGGAGCCAGGCCCAAAAAGGGAAATAGAGCAAATTCTTTAAAATCTTTCTTCTTCTGTGGGGAGTTCAAGATTCTACCTTAAATTTATCGGAAGAATCTTTGGGTGAAGGGGGATCAGTTTTGAATGTAGTAGTCTGGACCAGGGCTTAATAAAGGAAATAGAGAAAAAACTAAATTCTTCTCTTGTAAGGAATTTCAGGATTCTATTCCACTCTGATCAGAAGAATCCTTGGGTGAAGAAGACTCAATTTTGTATTAGGGAAAATACAGCAAACTTTCTTAAATTCCATCTTGTTATGTAGGAATATCTGTTTTTTTTTTTTTTTTTCAAAATCGTTACAAATATTTTAAATACTTTTCCTAGGTTTAGATGAGCCAGTTCAACAATCAGTACACTAAATCAGCTGAGTGATACAAGTCAAGATTTGGAGAAAAATATTAATAAGAAAATCTTGAACAGATGCCATTGTATACTCAATGTTTTTTTTACACCTTATATGATCCTCTGTCTGTCTGGAAACAATTTCTGTCATCAATATTTCTTGAGAAATAATGGATGAATCTTTCTCAGATTTCTTATGTAGGTTCTGACTGGTCCGTAGTTGTGCCTTTTTGATTTTGGAACTGATCGGAAAAAACTAAATGGCTGACAGGTGGCCATCTTGCATTTTTTCAATGAAGTTTGTTATCGCTATTCCTTGAGAAGTACATGATGGATCTTTCTCAAATTTCATGTGTAGGTTTTCTGTTGATCCATAGTTGTGCCTGTTTGCTTTTGGGACTGGTCAGAAAAACGAAATGAACAACACGTGGCCATCTTGGATTTTGACTTTAAAAGTTTGTTATCACTGTCAAATTTCCTATGGGGGTTCCCTTTGGTCCCTGGTTGTACTGTTTTGATTTTTGGACTTATCAGAACAAAATGGCCAACAGGTGGCCATCTTGAATTTGGCAGTCAAAGATAACTATCACTATTTCTGCAAAGGAATGTTCAAATTTCTTATCATTAAGATAAAAAAAGAGAAGAGATAAGATGGAAAAAGATCCAACTTTCAAATAAAGATCAAACAATGGTGGGCAACAAGATCCCTTTGGGATCTCTTATTTTTCAAATTTTGTCAGATTTTAATTGAAAATTAAAAAAAATTGCAGCTACAATAGCATATTATTGATCTGTAGGATAGAATGTGTTTTTTGTTAAGGATAAGTGTTGAATAAGACTTGTTTTATTCAAGAGAACTTAACAGATTAGTTGTAAGAAGTAGTGCTTGAGTGGGATTTGGTTTGCCTTACTAATCTCTCTTACACCTGACACTACTGTGAATTTTAATGTTTGACATATCACTGTAATTGTGTAGTTTTAGGATGTGTCAGTTTTCAGCTGAGATAGGAGAAAGGTGGTTGTCTTTTGATATTTATATTTAAGTCAAGTTGTACTAATTTTACATTTTTTCATTTAGATGATGAAAGTTCTAGAAGAAAAAGTGGAAGGAGAAAGACAACTGACATTGGAGAAAAATGAGGTATGTCAGTGACATCTAAAAAAAGAATGTCGTATGTATGATGTCATTATAATCACAGATTTATTGCTTTAGATGATCAGTTTGGATAGCATGTTATTTGGTGTTGTGTCCACATTTCAATAGATTGAATACCATATGAAACTACTTATACATTTAGAACATAAATGTAGGTTAAAGTTCACAGCTATTTTTTCGTTCTTACAATGATTGTTTTGGTTCCTTGGATGAATCGTAATAGGTTTTCCAACTTATGCTGTACTCAATGTCAAGGTCACAAGTTTTAATGAAAGGTCAAGGACAAATAAGGTCAAGGTGACTGTATATATTATGTTTTTGGGTAATATCTTTTCAAACACTGGAGTCATTTTCATCTAAATTCATTTAGGCATTGGAAGAGGAATCCTTCAGTGTGATAATATTTTATACCATTATTACTTAATGAGTAATGAAACACTTACCTAGATATCAGTAATCACATATTGAGACATGGCCTTATACAGATTATGTATCAGAACAGGATCCAATGGTAACTGTTTAGACCCATCAGTATCATGAGAAGTTTTTTTTTTCTTTTAAGAATCAGATGTATATCATTGGAAATGTGAAAGTTTTCAATCATTTAATAATTCTATTAAAAGTTCTGTGAAGATAATTCTGTTGGGGATGTTTGCTCTTTGGAAGAAAATATATGCTGAATCTGTCATGGACTTTGTGAAGTATAATTCTATTTTCTTATATCCTCGTGATTTCATGATCTACATATTTACATATGTTTCATGGGGATGTGGACCAGTGTGAAAATGTATCTATCTTTTTTTTGTGCAGCAATCCTACTGACTAACTAATTTTGTTCTAAATAAAAGTTTTTTAACAAATTATTTCTTCATTTTTCACCAAATGTTGAAACAGTTTTCTGTTTACCAGAGCCTTTGACTGGCTGATGTTTGATTAACGATGGTGAATGTGTTCATTCTTGTAAAACCTGTGATCATGTACACCTTTATATAATGGGTAACAGCTGTAAACATGTTGTGTAACGTCATCATGTCAACTTAGCTTTTGTTTACATACAGCTTCGGGACCGTGTGGACAAACTTGAGCACACTAATCAGGAATTACTCTTACGACTGGAAGGACAAACGGTCAGTTTAATTGGGCTATTGACCAATCGCCTGAAAATATTTACTTTAACACACTCAGATGTTGAACTTTCTACTAATATTGTTTGATCAATGCTTTGTGAAGAATAGTTTCCTTTTAAATTTTTTGGACAGAATTTGATCTGTTAAATATTGCCGAACCTATGGTAGATGATGATACTTGTAATTGTGTAAATCTATTAGCAGTCTTTATACACATTTTCCATTCTCACAGTTAAGCTTATAATTTTTATACTGGTTGGCAACCCATATGAATTAATGATTTTTCTGATGCGATAATGCCACATATGTGATATTTTTGACAATTTTGCACACTCACACTCACAAAAAGATACATATTTACATATCAATAAATTTCAATGCAAAATATATCAAATATATAGAGATATTGCAGCACTTTTTATTTCACCTTAAAAATAGCAACAGGGAGATGTGTTCTACTTGTTTAGGGGCTGATGCAGAAGTGTTTATCAGTATAATTATTTTTCTTACTTATCATGGTTGTAAGATTTTGGTCTGTTGTGCTGGCAGAAATTTCTTACTTTAATGCTCAATAAAATTCAGTATTTTTATCATTGTTTTAACTTCCCTCTTTCTGATTTTTGAAGAACTATGATATGGTGTGTATTCTAATAAAACTTACTTTGTCATCTACTCCAGGCTCTGCAGAGCAGAATAGAGGACGAGCAGAAGTTATCCAAATCATATAAGGATGAAAATGAAGAACTGAAGCGGGAACTAGAAAGCTTGAGACATCAGAAACGTCAACCTGTTGATTTTGAAGAATTAGATATGATGAAAGCCAGAAATAACCAGCTTTTACAGGAGCTAAGGGAGGCAAACCAGAAAAACATGGAACTCAACTTTCGTCTCAGTAAATTGGAGAAGGAGTTATCACAACAGGAAGAGGATAAGGACAAGGTGACCTTGATAGAGAACCTCAAGGTCAAAGTCACACAAATGCAGGCAGAACGAGGAAGTGCTCTGGAAAAAGAACGTAATTATGAAAAATTGATTAGAGAACTGCAAGCGGAAATTATGAGTTTAAAAGAGTCCTATGTGATATTGGAATCAGATAAACAAAGGATTTATGCAGAGTATCAAAGAATTATGACAGAACTTATGTATTTACGTAAAAAGGATTCAATTGATAGCGCAAGTAAGTCGTTCAAAGATTTTGTACAATTGAAGAGAGAATTGAATGAAGTTAAAAGTGAAAATAGTGACTTACGACGAATGGTGAAGCCATCACAGTTGCCAATGTTGAAGGACAGTGAGAGTGTGAAGAGAGTAGAAGAAAGGCGAGGATCGGGTTCTTCACAAGCCTCAAAGTCCTCAAACAGTGGCAGACAAAAACAGCAAAGAACAAAGAGTTTGAACTTTTTAACTAGTTAAGTTTTTCAAATGTGAAATTTGGTGATTGTTGTGTTAATTTAATGTTTACTAGAACAGGTTTGTGATACATACAGAACAAAACAAAAACAAAAACAAAAACAAAAATCACCGTTTTTAAGAGTAATGGTAGATATGTGTACAGAATATGGCACAACATCATGACAATATTTTACTCAGGGTGATTTTATAAACAAGATTGAATGGAATCATCTTTTAAGAAGTCAATTTGATTTTATAAATTTGTAGAAAGGTTTATAAGACTTTCATTATTCTTAGGTTACTGGGACTCGAGAATTCATTAGCCAAGTCAAATGCCATGTGCCAAACAAAGGCTTTGTACAATATTAAATTTAGCTGCCACACTTTGTCAAAAATCCATGAAAATTCCATTATGTGTTCTATCATAGCCTTACTCTTGGTAATGGCATTACCATATTGAATATATGTTGTAACATTCCAGTAATCAAAAACAGCTCTGACTTTATTCAGAGATCTAGTGGAGTTATTGATTTTTAGCAGGTAGTAATAATTTCCTGTTTTTGTAGTGTCTTGTTTACTATTTACCTTATTTCAGAATATATATATATACTGTATGATGCTTTGATATTTATCTATTCAGTCATTGACAAAATGTTTGCATTCCATGTCTCTAATTTTACCTGGAAGATATTTTTTAGGATAAATGTCATTTTAATGTTGATTTCTCAATCTGATTGGTTGATTTAGTCTGTAACTTTGACACTTTTCCAAACAACAAAACGAGATAATAAGTTGTAATTACAGAACACAAGATGGTTTATACTGCTGTCTGATTGGCTGGTGTATTATATAAGTAAGTCTAGTTGGATTATATTGCAGTATGATTGGCTGAAGTAGTACAAAATCTTATCTAGATGGATTATACTGCTGTCTGATTGGCTCATGTACTTGTACATAATTATACTGCTGTCTGATTGGCTCATGTACATGATTATACTGCTGTCTGATTGGCTGATGCAAATGTACATGATTATACTGCTGTCTGATTGGCTGATGTACATGTGTCATCCATCTTTTCTAGTCTCATTCATTGTCGTGTCTTGAAGATCAAAATTGATACTTTAATGTGTGGTAGCAAGGGTATTCATGTTTTATAGACATAGTTCATGTTACAGATTCTCAATCATTTTAAATCTATTGTTTTATAATATTTTCTATTCTGAAGTAAGAGAAAAAACTTGCCGAATAAATATTCTTGCAGAACTACTCGATTTATATTTGAAAAACTAAATGATTTTCAAATCTGTTCTGAGACATGCTGTATACTAAAGTTATTTCATTTCAGTAATAATTACCATAACTTTAGTATACATATCCTTTTCATTTGTATATAATATCAACAAAAAAGGGGGCTCAATAATCCCCTGTAGGGAGCCCCTCTACCTGACAGAAATACCTACTCATGACCAGAGTCACATCCTTCTTTATCCATGGTGTTGGGCTAATCAGACATATTCTCACCGGTGTTGACATTTCTCGACGTTTACAGGGCAGTATTTCCCAGTTGTTTTGAATATTTGTTCATTTCATAGCAGGTTTTACCACTTTCTATTCCCATTGTTTGTGTTAAGTTTGCCTGCTTATTTCGGCCGTTTTTTTCCCCACTCATGTTAAGACACCTGTTGGTGAATTTTCATATTTTTTGTATGTTTTTTTTTAACTCGGTTGCTGTTTGTTATGTGTTTGTTTCTATTGAATTGTATTCAAATCATTCATGTAGTGTTTACCTTGCTTTTTTTTCACAGCAATTTAATTAATCTTTTGTAGTTTTTATTTCATTTGTTGTTAGTTTTCAGTTCTGTATAGCTGAGCGTTATGGCTAGTAACAGCCCTTGCCACGGTACCGTAGATGGGTGAGGTCACTTTTATAGTGAAGCCGACCCCCATTTTGGGTGTCCCCAGTGCCGCACCTGCTCAGAGGAGACACCCTGTGATTCATGTTTGCATGGTTCTCCCTCTAGCAATGCGGTTGCTACTGTTAAGTGCTCTTACTTGGGCCAGATCTTCCAACCATGGTAAGGGCAAGCCCAAGTCTGCTGCTGGGTTGTCCAAGGATGTTGCCCATGGTGATCTTGTGCCTGGACCTGCCATCTCCATTTTGGCGGTGTCGGTTGGTGTCCAAGGGGTGGCCTCTCCTTCCCAGCCTTGGTCTGGTTCGAGGGAGGAGCAGTCCGATTCAGAGTGGGATCACTCTGACGCCGATTCGATTGGGACCCCTCGTAAGCCTTTTGAGAGCTTGCCTTTGGGTAGGGGTGTGTCCCAATCATGTTTGGTTGCCCCAGTGTACCGGTAGTTTCTGGTCCTTGTCCATTTCCTGGGTTGGCCCAACCTCTAGGTTTAGAGGCCCCATCCTGTAATCCTTTGGGTTTACAGGTGGCGCCTTTGGCTGGCTTTGGGACTTGACCCCAGTCTTCCTTCCCACCTGGTTTTTAGTGGCCTAGTTCCGGTCACTCTGTGACTGGTACAGATTTAACGGTGTCTGGGAACCTGGTTTCTACACTGGATTTTGGGTTGGCTGATCAGTCGAGCAGTTTCCACCCAACGCCTCAACTAGTCCGGGGTTTAAGCATATGTATGCACATGGTTTCGCGGGACAACCAAACCAGCCAGTGAGTGGTTTGGTTGCAGTAGTTGCAGTTCCAACCTGTACATACCTGCTTCTGATGAAAGTGGTGGTTTTCCTTCGGCCATTGGTCAAGGAATCCAGCCCCAGACTCAGGCAGGCCTGTTTGACCAACCTTGAGGTCACTCCCAAACTTGGGGTCCTTCTTCCTACCCTCAGGGTTGTGGATTTGCTCCCTTTCTGTTCCCTCATTGGAACACTTGGGGTTCGGTTTCCTCAAACCAGCAGAGATACGATGGATACAGTCTCCCCTCCCCAACAATCCTCCCGTTTGGGGGCTATTTTGGCCGGCACTAAGCAACAGCAGTGCTTCTGCTTCTTGTGTAGTCCCTTCTGCTCTGTCCAAGAGGCTTGGTTTGCTGCACGCCCTAAAGCCAAAGTGGGTTAATGCCCTGCTAAGTGTTCCACACAGCTCAGGCTGGAGGTAGCTCCGATGGCTTCCTCTTTGACACCTTAGATATCTCTTCCTCAGGATGTGGATACCTCCAAGCCCATCGACAGAGTGTGACGTTCTTGATCTCTCATCCAGGTGCTCAGAGGTTGATGACCTCCTATCAGAAGTCCCATCTTCAGATAGTGCTCCTACTGATGGGGAGCCCCAGTCGGCGAGGCTGCGGATGAGGTGGTAACTGAGGCTTCCCACCTCGTTTCGGACATGGGTGCCATGTACACTGACATTACCTCTGCGTCATCGGTCCCGGAGGCCTCCACATTACTGAGTTCTGTGGTACCTCCTAAGCCTGCTCCTCACAGTGACAGGACCCTGCCAGAGGGCACTATTATGTCCTCAGCTCTGACTGCTGCTCAGGTGCACGTCATGGAGAAGATTTCCTCCTCTACATGGGCTCCAAGGTTTCCTGGGTTGCAGCTTGGGGTGACAGACTTATCGGAGGTTAGAGCCTCCGATTATGCCATCCACGACAGGAAGCTGTCTCCTCATCCAGCCAAGGTGGAATCGAGGGATCTTTCTTCCTGGCCTGGGAAGTTGGTAGACCAGGTGGTGTTCCAATCTAAGGAGCATCACAAGCTTGAGAGGATGTTGCGCCTCTCCTTTCATTTCATGTTGTACACTAATTTTTTTACCGTATCCTTGTACAGACTATCCAATCTGCCTGAGGATCGGCTCTCTGTCGAGGAGATGCCTGAATTCTGCGTTCAGTGGCGGCGTTGCAGTGTTCTCTGCTTGTCGACATGATGCCATTGTTCCATTCTTGGGGGACATTCAGGTGAGCGAACCTTTCTGCTGCTGCCTTTTGACAGTCTCCTTCAATGTTCCCACTCTGTTCAGTGGTGTTTAACCTGCTGTTCAGAATGACCTGAAGGAGGACCAGGTGGCTACTGGCGTTCTTTTCAAGAAGCCAGGCCCATTGATCTTAGCGCTTCACAGGGTGCTGGTCCTAATGCGAAGAGGTCTTGGCCTAATTCCAAGCAGTGTGCTGCTTGGAAGAAGTCTAAGACTCCCTTTAAAGCCAAAGGGAAGAAGGAGAAAGGCGACAAGAAACATCCTTCTAAGGGGAAGTCAAGTTTCTGACTTGCTTCTTCCCCCCATGCCACTCTCAATTGTCGCGGGTCTGCCAGACTTTGGTCTGTTTTCTTAAGGCCCTGTGTCCGCGGTGTGGGAGGGTTTAGATGTCCCGTTACTGGAACTTCCGGTAGGCAGTCATCTGGCCTCTTTTCTCACACAGTGGAAGGAAATAACTCACGACACCTGGGCCTTGTTAGTGGTGTTGTAGAGTTTGGGGATTCCCTTGATTCAGAATCCCCCCTGTCTGCAAAGCAAATCTCCCCCCTCCTGTGGATCCAGAGAAGGCACTTACATTGAGGGAGGAAGTAGATACCATGCTCCTGTACTTATTCAGGGACTGCAATCTTGCTCCTAGAACTGTAGCTGGCTATCGCTTTGCAATACCCAGTGTCCTTGCTTTTCATGGCAGGCAGGAAGTCAGCACATCTTCTTCCATGTCTGCATTGCTGAGGAGCTTTGGTATAACGAGGCCAAAGGTCAGGCAGTTGGCCCCTCAATGAAATCTAGTATTTGTGTTAGATTCCTTGACTAGAGCCCCTTATGAGCCCCTTGAGAATGCCTCTCTAAAGCTCTACACTTTGAAGGCGGTCTTCCTCATTACTTTGACCTTGGGCGCAGATGCAGTAAGGTTCATGCCTTGTCATGTCTTCGTGCTTGTCTTTGATGGTCTAGAGGGTACACTGCAGTCACTCTAGTTACTGATCCTGCTTTTTTAGCCAAGAATCAGGTTGCCAGGGTTTTCCCTGGATCCCTTCAGGATTGCTTCCTTGTTTTCCGTGGTGGCACATTCTGATGCTGACAGTCGGGTTGGGG